CATCATGCCAAACAGTGGTATCCACTAGCCTGCAAACAGAATAAATATCTCAAATAAGACGGGGTTTTGTGCTGTGCCACCTATGCTGTGATTCCTGGTAACCCTATGTGTAGAAGCAAAACAGCATCAAGGTTAACATACACTGCATATATTGTTTGCCTGTGACTTGACCAAACTGCGGGAGGCAGTGGAAGACAGGAGTGCCTGGTGTGCTCTGGTCCATGGGGTCATGAAGAGTCGGACACGACTAAATGACTAAACAACAACAACAAATCACCCTGCAAAACAATGAAGCCTCCTTCATGTGTTACTCACACAATAATGGTCTCCACGTGTTGAAGGGGCAGTGATGGTGACACCACTGGCCCCGTCCCTCAACATACAGGTGATGAGCAACTGCACCAGGTTTAGACATCTACACACACATCAGCTGATCACACAGGGTCTTTGCTGAATGTATGGACTCTGGGAATAGGGCAAGGGAGCCACACGGCATTGGTGTTGAACAGCACAGCCCTGCTACCTCTTCAACACATACAGCCCCCTTCATATCAGTGACATGTGAAGGCGATTTGTATCTGCTTATATGGCAGTAGAAGGGAGCAAGAGGGTGTTCATCTGCCCACCAAGTAGCTTTCTCCCTACATGCTCCACCCCACTGTTGGACCACTGGAAAGAAAGACACTTTTCACATCTACTCTCACCCTCAGAAAGACACGTTGTGCCTTCTTGTCCTCTCTCAATATTTGTTTCCAGTGCTACCACTGTTTAAGGGTAAAGGGACCCCTGACCATTAGGTCCAGTCGTCACCGACTCTGGGGTTGTGGTGCTCATCTCGCTTTATTGGGCGAGGGAGCTGGCGTACAGCTTCCGGGTCATGTGGCCAGCATGACTAAGCTGCTTCTGGCGAACCAGAGCAGCACATGGAAATGCCGTTTACCTTCCTGCCAGAGCGGTACCTATTTATCTACTTGCACTTTGATGTGCTTTCGAACTGCTAGGTTGGCAGGAGCAGGGACCGAGCAACAGGAGCTCACCCCGTCATAGGGATTCGAACTGCCGACCTTCTGATCGGCAAGTCCTAGGCTCTGTGGTTTAACCCACCCTCGTTTACATGTGCTCTATTAAGACTCAAATCCTGGACATTTTCTGAGGCTTAACTGAGGCTGTGTTCACACTCCTGTTTACTGGGCACTCACTGCATTTCCAGTGCTGGTTTTTAATCTGTGTTCACATGGCATTATCCAAAATGTATATGTATCCTGTATTTTGTAATAAGATACTGCTGTTTGGTGTATCATTTCTCAAACCAGCTTCATGCTGACTGGAGTCCTGAAACTGTTCTCTAACTAAGGTGAAAACGTTGGCATAGGGTAAAGACATCCCCTGCCTGTCAAGGTCCCCCTTTGTGTACACATAGAGAAACAAGTCTGACACTGATGAAACTGTGCTGATGTGAACAGCTCAGGAGAAAAGAATTGTGAAAGTCACCAGGGTGGGGGACTTCAGCGCACTCTAAGTCACTAATGTGAACGCAATCTTTATTACTGCATTGTCCTGTATACTCTTGTATCCAGAAGAACTGTGTTCAAATCCCTGCTTAGCCCACCACAGAGATGCAGTAATGGGTAAATCTGTTCCTGCTGATGTTCCTGTTTATCATTCTGTTGTTAATTTGACAGCCAGTGTTTTGCAATAGTTCTAGAGTTGTCCTGGGATCAGAAAGACTTGAATTCTAGTTCTTACTCAGCTATAAAGCTTACTGGGTGATCTTGGACAAGGGTGCTGATGTGCCCTACTCTACAGAAGACAGTTCTCTATTTGCAGCACTTTCAGAGAACAACCCTCTGTTTGAAGGAATCCAAGACTGTGCAGTCCAAGTCTGATGTAGAGATAAAGAACCCTAAGAAAGGAGAGCCCATCAACTATTAGCATTTAGACAGTAGACTGAGCAGCACATACGGTAGGTCACCTAGTGACAGTTGTCCCCACCATAGGGAGATGTATTTCTATTTAAATTTTAGTAATTATTTCTAAATTTGCATCTCTACATATAAATTAGCATATGCAAATATTATGCAAAATCATATCTTCTTTTGCTTCCTTTTTTGGCCATACATTTCCTAATTTCTGGCAATGCATAAGTGTAAGTTAGCAATATGTTCTGCTGCCTTAGGCTGATGCTTGGTTTTACTATACCATTCAGACACCTCTTCATCCTTTCATTTATTTACACAGACTCACAGTGATGCCCGGAGCAGCTTGTCTCATCCTGCAGCATGGCAGGACTCACCATGGTCAGACTAATTTACTTTGCAGGCTAAAACAGGGTCAGCTCCAGATATGCTGCTGTAAGGTCTTTTTGAAGAACGGACATGCTAATAAAGTGATTTATTTTTTTTAAGTAGCCGCCTACTTTATCTCCTGCATCTTTCAATAAGCCACCTGATAACTGATGTTAACAGGTATGATTGCTTACTTGTTCAAACACAAATCTTCTACATAAACCTTTTGAGTTAGTATTAGCCACACCTAGACATACAGTTTGAGACAATGGACAAATCTTTTAACACTGACATTCCGTGTTTGTACAGGCAGCTCCTGCAGAGTTGTTCATTCTTTTTCAGTCATAAAATCTGTCAGTGGATATTCACTTTTCCAACTTCTGGGACTTCCCCTTCAGTTTCTGTCAACTTTCCCCTCAATAATGTGAGGAATCTACATATAACTTGATGAAGAGTATGCATGGTCATAAATGTGAAGGTGCTGCAAAACACAAGTCTTCCAAGCTCCACAGACAATAGGTTCTTCTTCTTCTTCTTCATCTTGATATATTAAAACTCCAGGCTGAACACAAAATCATAAATGAAATACAACCAATACAATTATAAATAATTGTAAGGAAAAACAAAACAACAAACCAAGTACAGGATCTGAAGTTACCATTTGTCACAGCCTCCATATATGTCTGACATGTCTAACCCTGTTCCAATAAATTAAACTCTAAACTACATTAATATTAACATCCTGTATTTTTAGCTGGTTGAATAGTTTATTCCTTTCAATTTTGTTGTATTTCTGTTCTATTGATGTATGTTATTCTAATGTTGCATTATGGAATTTCAGTCCTTATGGTTATTGCTTTGAAATTCACTTTTGGATGATGGTGTGATGTATACATTTTTAGAGCCACAAACAAACAAAATTAACACAAGCATTGTTTGGAATCAGAGAGTCTTCAGAAGTGTTTTCCTGGAGCTTATCAGATCTCACAGAACAAGTTAAGTCTCTTGTTGGACTAAATCAGTGTTTCATACATTGTTGTTGTTGTTAAATTTCTCTTTCCCCTGGCATTTATTTACAGTCAAGTGCTACCTTTGAAGCTAATTTTATTATAGCACAAAAGTACTAAATTACAGCATAAAACATCTCCTAATGTGAAACACATTGAATAATGATTCTCCTGCCACCTAACATTAAATTTTAACTTTAGGTAAGTGTGTATAGGATTGCATCCAGTTTCAAGGAAATGGCCACAATCCAAGAAAAATCAAAATCAATGAGATTAAGGATGTTCATCTTTCTGCTGGAGCTTCGGCACTGTATTAAGCATCAACATAAAGCATCAACATAAAAAAGCTTGTATCTTTATTTGTCCAGATAATGAAACTACTCTATCTTTAACATCTTAGAGCACCACCACCAGGTGGAAGAAGGTATCATATGTGTGTTACTAAAACATGCTAAAATATTAAAATATTTCTTTTAAAATACAGTATCAGGCAATATTTTGCTTAATTGGGAGCTACAAATAAAAGGCCTTGACATACTATCATGAATCACAACTTTGTGGTTGTGAATACAGAAAAGTAAATAATCTAGAAACCTTCAATCTTTTAGGAGAGTTAAATCATAATATGACCATGTCCTGGCTTGAAAGATCTGTTCCTTTGCATCTTCATTTCACTTGGTTTATTATTAACTCAAAATCTGCAGCCACAGAAAATATTCTCTAGGCACAAACTAGAGAAGGCTGAAATGAATGCGACTTGAATGCTTAACTGTGGGTGAACATGCATTTCAACAGAATTTAGGCATGTTTTTCTGGATGTACCCTCAGTCATGAAATCTAAGGTTAATTTTAATGCTCCCCCAAATATTTCTTTGCAAAGTTTATTAATTTACAAAGGTTTGGTTTCTGCTTAAATTGAACAGGAGATTAGCATCTTATGTTACATGATGTGCCCAGCTGCTAAAATGTAATTCATACCAAATAAAGCAGTTTGTGGCCAAGTGCCTTACATATTTTATCTTACAAATCCTTTGTATTTTCAAACTTTTAATTTCAGCTTAAATTTTACAGATTATCACCTGGGTGTTAAAATCTGTAGAATGGTTTGTGCTATTATAGCTGCAGAAGCAACTCGTGTGAGGCAAATGTATGAAGTCTGTTTTGCTATGGTGCCTGTTATTTGCAATCTGGTTATGGAAAGTTACTGCTATCAACGAGATGTACAAGTTTGTGCTGCTTCTTAAGTGAAATACTAGCTGGACTTTTGAGCACTGCCTCTGCTCTGCTCCCTTCTGTATACTGTGGAACTGCATTATGTTGTGATGCTATGCCACATCTGGAAATGGTGGCTCATGCTAGCTCAGTGGCAGTGACTAATTTTGGTATATTTGTACAAATGTGGAGAGAAATCAGGAAAAAAATAATTCTTAATGTTTGGCTCATTGAGGTAATTTCTAGGAGACAGATCTACATAAATATTTTTATTCTAATCTAGCGCAGACTGCAAGATATTTACAACTTGTAGATACTTAAACTGGAATAGAATCCAATTACTTGGCAGTGTAGGGAGGCCAAACTGAATAAAGTACTGCACGCAATTAAAGCAACTACAATATTTGGCTACCATTCTGTGGCTCCTCTGCTTTTTAGCTTCTGTAAGAAGCAGCTTGTACAGTCACAGGTGGCTACAGCCTCCATTTCCTTATTCATCACCTTGGTCCAGAGATGTGAGTTCACCAGGTGCTGCCGGCAAGAAAAGGGTCCCCAGTGCCACCATCATTACCTTCAGTGACAGCAGCAGCTGACATATTTGACTAAAGGTTCCTGGTGAACTTGTGGAAGTAGGAACGCCCACGTCCCCCGCTCCTTTGTTCACTGGCATTTTATTTGTTCTGCTTATCTTGTTCTCTTTATAGCACTACACTACAATTCTCCGTGTAGTTAACAATTTGCACACATTGCATATATTACAAAGCAGCCAGTGGTGTTCTGTTCAATGCAACTGCTACCCAGCATGCTGTTTTGGACATTGTTCCTCAGATTCTTTCAGAATTTCCCTATCGGCTGGGATTCAATCACATACTGCCAGGTTCAGGTTGCACAATTAAAGTTTATTCGGAACTCTTGTGCATTGTTTTCTCCTGGTCTAAACCCAGAAATTGATTGCATGAAGGGTCTGTGCCCACCTGAGGAATTATTATTATTATTATTATTATTATTATTATTATTATTATTATTACAGCTATAAGACACTCCTCAACACACTCTGCCCGTGAGTGCTTTGAGCATCCATAAATGACCAGGTTCAAAGGCGGCAACCCTACGGGAACGACGGTTACCAACCTGTGCAACTGCTTGCCAAGTTGATGCTGTAACAATTAGAAGGCAACGGAGCCTTCTGAGAGTTGTTGGGGACGGGAGCCAAAAGGGGTGTGTGAATCTGAGCAAAGAGCTATGAAGCGTGTGGGCAAATGGGAAAATAAAAAAGTGCTACGGAGAGTCGGAGGCTGCGCCCTGGCGGTTCTTGTAAAAAGAAAACATTTTCTGAAGATGCAAGGTGGCAGCTTCGTTTCGTGTTCCCATGAAGAAATGGACTCCAAAATGTATTCTAAAGTGAAGTCTTATGCCCTGGCTCTTCACAGCAGTGCATCATTTGCCCTCTCCCTCTTTTAGCGCCTTAACTTTAGAATCCTAGAAACTTGGGGTGGTTCTGGTCATCCGTGCGCCCGCGCGGGCGGTTTCACGTTGCCTTTTAAGTCCACCTGGAGCTCCTCAAAAGAGAGTTGGCTGCAGGGTTAGGGGACGGCGAAGGAGCGCCAGCTGCCTTGGGCACGGCCAAATAAAAAAAAGAAAAAGAGGGTCGGGGAGTTAAAGCAAGGCGGCGCTTGCCCTCAGGGCGCCGGGCTGCGGGAGGGCGGGTGGTGAGGCGACGGCGGGGAAGGTAAGAAGGTGGGTGGCTGACTCGTCGTCGCTAAGAGCGAGCAATCCGCGCCCAGCTTCGTCGCGGCCCTGCCTTCGCGAGCCTGGCTTCTCGGGGCTGGCAGAGCAGGACGGAGGAGCCGCCCAGCGCGGCTGCTGCCCTAGAGGGGAAAAGGCGGAGGCGGGAAGGAGAGCAGCATGGCGTGCTACAGCGGGGAATACGTGGTAAGGGGGCCAGCACTCGCAGCCGGCAGGGCGCTCAGCCTGAGGGGAGTCGGGGGGCGGGAAGGCGGCGGCGCTGACAACCTCAGTGGCGGGAAGTCTCCTGAGGGGAGAAAAAGGCGGTTTCGGCTGCCGCTGCTCCTCCTCTTGCTGTTTCCACAGGCGACCTCCGCCTGCCCCGAACGGCCCCCGACGAGGCGGTCGAGATACTCCGCCAAAACTTTCCACTTGAAATTCACTTTTCTTCCTCAAGACTCCCATGGCGGCGCGTTTCTCGTGGGCTCTGCCGCCTCCTAGGCCGACAGGTGCATTGCTTTTATCTCTCCCGGAGTGAAGAGGCCTCCTTCCACGCTTATCTTTTTGTCACCACAAACGGCACATATTAAGGGGCCGCCACAGGAAATAAAGCGCGAGGGGGTAAAGGTTCAGAGCATTTCTGATCTGGGCAAACTTCTGTGACGGTTCTCCCTCAGGGATGGTTCCACAATAGTGTTCCTCTCTGGAATCTGGCAGTGCAGAAAAATGGCAAATCTGCCCTGAAAGCATTCTTTAATGAAAGGAAGTAAATCAAAATAAATAAATGTCATGTAGCTGCTGGCTGCGTTTTTTAATACTGTGCCAGCAAAGTCAGCCCAGTTTTATCTGTCCCAGAGGAAGCTATCTTTGGAGTGGTTTGTTTTGTTTTTATGTTCGGCATCATATATTCGGGAAAAATGGGGGAAGATAGATGCCACCTGCAAATGATGTTGATGCAGGTAGCGAAGTTTTCATGACATGTAATCAGATCATAGTGTAAACACACCCATCTGAGAAATACGACACACCTCTGTGCAGTCATGGGTTTTCATACTAAAGTGAATGTAAATGTGTTTGTATTTGCCTAGAATGGAAAAATAAAGTTCATTAAACTGTACTGTGAGATAAAGTTTCAGAGAAAGATAATATCCATATAGTAGTTTACATTGTTGGGTATTGCCCAGTGAACAGGAGCTCAGAACCAGAGTGTGGAAATAGTTGTTGCACCAACACAAGTTCAGTTTCCCATTTAGGTATGTCTATACAGTATACACATGACCGGAAGCTGTACGCCAGCTCCCTTGGCCAATAAAGCAAGATGAGCACCACAACCCCAGAGTCGGCCACGACTGGACCTAATGGTCAGGGGTCCCTTTACCTTTACCTTTATGCAGTATACAAGAGTGAGAAAACTGAAAGAGAAAATTTGTGCTGCCATTACTCCTGTCAGGCCTTGTGACCTGTAATATTTCCCCACATCTTCAGAAAGGTAGGATACTACCATGGATTGAAGGCAGGCACTGGATGAATTGTGAGAATTGTGGATTTGTGAAGTGAAGGGCCCTTATAGACACACCTTTTGTCTCTGGGTATTTATACCAGCTAACTACTACACCTATCAGAATTTTCCCAGGTATTTCATTACTTAGAGATAATAGAGTGGTGATTGGCACATTATACAGAGACTAAATTAAAGTCAGTGGCAGAGATTACCACACAAGAAGACATGTTGGCTACATAAACTTCTCTGTGCTCTGCCTCCACAGCTGGTGGAATGCCAGTTACTTGAAACTACAGGACGGGAGAGTACTCTTGTGTTTGAATCCAGATTGCCGGTTTCCCATGGGCATTTGGCTGGCCACTGTGAGAACAGGATGCTGGACTAGTTGGGCCGTTGGACTGATCCAGCAGGCTCTTCTTATGTTCTCTAATTTTTAATGCAGCATAATCACATCATAACATGCATTGTGTGGTTTCACTAAATGTACAGAAGGTGGAGAGCTTAAAAGCTCTTTTTGTGCAGGGCTTTCCCAGCATGGAATGCTCTCACAAGATCTCCCTTAAAAGCGCTCTGCCTTGCTTGGGCAATGCCAACTTGGCATATGGCTCCAAAAAGGTAAGAACACTCACACAGGGGCCATTTTCCAAAGGGGTGGGTCAAATATATACAGTATATTTTTGCATATATGTGCCATCCCCGGAACCTGACCCCCATGCAAGACACAGTCATACTGTATATCCATTATATAATTGCATCATTTTATATATTTAAAATACCAGGTTTCTGAAGATGGGTTACCTGAACCAAGAAAGTGGAGACCATTGATGTATAGGAAATGCACAGACCCCATTTGGTTGATGATATTCTTTCTCTTTTGGTCAGGTTTGGTAAGTACCATAGTATTCCTGATGAAATGGGTGGTATCCAGTGAAACAGTTCTGCTAGCACAACAACTTTTGGCTACACAATGGAACTTCCCCTCCCTCTCCTCTCCCTGTTCACCCCCATATTCAGTAACTTGAATATGCCAGCAAAGGCACAACAAAAATGGGTCAGCTGCATATTCTGCCATTGCAGGGTGTTGGACTAGATGATCCTCAGGGTCCCTTCCAACTACAGTTGTATGATTCTGATTCTATGAAAGAAAAAGACCTATCCAAACAACTTGTTTTTCTGTTGTGAGGAGGCAGGGAGTGGGTTGTTGAAAGACAATGGGAAACCAATCAGATAGTATCCTGTGCTTTTCAGTTTTCACACATATGCATAGATATTGAGTGTTGTTGAGCTCATGGGAATAAGTGCTAAGATGTGTCCTAGAGCATTTCCCCAGGGAACCACTGTTATTATTTATGCAAAGCTCAGGCTCAGTTCTGTGTGAGTTAACCTCCTTGCTGTTGTGGAAAGAAGGAGTTCTTGGCAGATAACAGCAACTCTTATGGAGAAAAGAGGCCTGCTTTGGATTCCATAACAGTGACAGATTTCATATGTATTCTCATAGATGTTTATAACTGGCTACGCTATAACAGCTGGAGCTGCAGAAAGACTTGTGTTTGGATATGACAGCTATGGAAACATATGTGGTCGGAAGAACACTCCTGTGGTCGGTGCACCATTGTCGGGACAAGATATGACAGATAAAAAGTGAGCATGTTCTTATTTCAAAAGGCTGCAGTGTTATCAAAAGCTATAGCAAATAAAATCAGGCCTTTAGCTGATTAACATTCTATTTCCTTTTAAATGTGTTTGTTTTCGTTCTTGTTTTTTATTATGTATTTTGTGTTCTCGTTTTGTATTTTTATGTTGTGATCTTATGCCTTGTGATCTTTGGATGAAGGGCAGTATAAAAACTGAATAAATAGTAGTAATAATGATGAGAATAGTAAAATGTAATCAGTCAGGAATACATAAATGATGCCTAAAGTAATAATTGTAAATGCCAATATATTGACTTCAATAAGGTTGAGATATCCTATATATTTTAGCTGTTTACAAATTTATTAATTATTTACATCCTGCTTTTCGCCGTGTAAGACTCAAGAGTGGCTTACAGCAATAAAAGATGCAATGTATGACATTTAAAACAAAAATGAAACCTCCGAAATGTAGAACCTCAATAATTTTAAAATCTCAAATTATATTTTTTAAAAAGGATTCCTCGCTCCCAAATCACTGAAATCCCCTAGGACAAATATTGGGAACCTGAAGCCTAGAGACTGAATGTGGCCTTCCAAGTACTTCTGTCTTGACCTTTGGCCTCTCTAAGTAAGACATGCCCTTATTCAAGCCACATCTGCCCTCAGCAGGACACAACACTCATCCACACTGCTCCAGAGTTACCAGAGTGCTTTTGTCTTGTTGAAATATGTCATTGAACTATGATAACACCTATTGCTTGCCTGGATGGAGGGATGTTTTTGGCTTTTGTGTGGCTGTGCCCACAGTTGCCTCTGGCCATGCCCATGACTGACCTGTCGCTCCCAGATGAGAGAGAACATGTTCCTTGGGCTCAAAAAGGCTGTTCTAGGGTGTAAATATTACTCCCTACTGGATCAGCAGTAGACTTGACCTTATATTTTTACTGCAATAAAACTGTATTGTGTTCAGGGAAAAAATATTTATTTATATTTCGTAAAGTTTATATGCCGTTTGATTGTTTTAAAAACCCCTCAAAATAGTTTACAAAAAAAACACCACTTTTATGTGTTTCTAAATTTAAGAATTGTTTTGTATAGTAAAAACAGGTTGTTGGAGAGGCAAGGTGAAAATTCAGTTGTTTGTTAATGCGAAGTTTTCTTGTTCTCTCCTAGATTTGTTTTCTTTTTGAATTCATGTGATTTGGAAATAAAAAATCTCAAAATTAATTCAACTGCATTGTGTGTATCGAGTTGTCCGCAGGAACAGCTTTCTTCCTTGGAAGAAATTCAATTTTTTGCAAAGAATAACGGTATGTGGTAAAGTTCTTTATAGTCTTTCTTTCTTTCGTAATAACCTAAACAGTTAAAAAATAAAGATTTGACTTGACTTGACATACATATGAAAGGGACAATATTAAATTTGAAATGCATGTTTGCCATCATCTTGATTATAGTTGTGTAGTCATGTTTTAAAGTTGCAATCATATACATGCTTACATAGGAGAAAGTCCTATTTAACTGAATGGGGTTTACTTTAAAGTAGGTATGTGTAGAATTGCACTGTTAATTTGTTCAACCACTTTAGACTAGTGCACACTTATTTTTTGCTAACTAACTTCTCCCCTTTCCCAATGTATATGCCACTGGGAAAAAGAGCATTCCACTTCTATATAAATGCTAAAAACAATAGTACACTACAGATTCAAAAAGGCAAACACATATTTAAAATAACATAAAAAGTACAATGGCCAAGCTCCAAGAAGCTACTTTAGACGCACCAAAGGCTTAAGGTTGTCAAATGGAATTTTCTTACTCATTTCCCTGGAACGACAACCTCCTGTATGCAATTGCACTGTCTGCTTTCAAAACTCCTCTTAGTTTCAAAAGCAATTTGGAGAAGAAACATGTGCAAAGGTCTCTTTGGCATGCAGAACTACATGCTTAGGTTTTGGGGTGGTTTTTTTTTGTATTTTGTCACACCATTATTATTATTATTACCCACCCTTTACCATAAGGTCTCAAGACTAGTCACAGCAATTAAAAAAGGTGCATTAAAAACATTTAAAAACAAAATACAGTCACAAGAATAGGGTAGGTCTTAAAAATATATATATCAACTTCCAAAGGCCAAGGGAAAGAGGTGAATCTTTAGCATTTGATGAAAACAATGCAATAAAGATGTTGGACACACCTCTTTGGGGAGGAAATTCCACAGTGTAGAGCTGTCACAGAGAATGCTCTCTCCCAGGCCACCCCCTCATCACACTTATGAGGGTGGTGGAACTATCAGGAAGGCCCCTGAACCTGGCTGAAGGGTTGTTTTTTTAATTGCATCGTTATTCTGTTAACTAGAAATACCAGGAATTTGAACGGGGAACCTTCTGCATGCAGAGCATTTGCTCCAGCACTGAACTATAGTCTGCCCTTTATCTCTAATGCATCCCTCTCCAAATGTCCTTTGGTTGTGCTGTGGTTATTTCTCCTTTGTCCTCTTTAAAGAGCAGCAATTCCCCGTTTGTTTGTACTACTTTATCCCATTTATATGACTTGTATCTTTGTGCCTATGATATTCCCCAGCCCCTACACTATTTCCCTGAATAAATGTTGAATAATAGCACTTGTTGTAATAGTAGTAGCACCAACAGCAGTGGAAACCTTCAGTTTTTAGATAATATTCCTCCCATGTTTTGTATGTACCTTAAGAACTATATAGTGATATTTATTTATAGACTTATATAAACAGTTTAAAAATACTCCCAGGGCTGCTAACAAAAACATAGTTAACCAGATACAAAATATAATACATAAACATTAAACAAAAACAGTCAAAGCAGCAGAAGCGTTAACAGCCATTGAAACCATCAGCTAAAACTAGTGAAATAATATGCTTGAAATCCTGGGCAAGTACAAAGGACTTCACCTGGTGCTGAAAATGCATCAGGTTTCTTGTCAGGTGATGGGCAGAACGCGCTATCTCTATGAGGAAAACTCTTCACTTTGAGGGTGCCACAACTGAAAAGGACCCCTCTTAACCATTGCACCCCTAACTTCGAAAGGTAGAGGGATTTGAAGGAGAGACTTTGAAGATACTACTCTTGTTTGGGAAGGTCATTGTGTGATTGGAGTAGGTGGTTCTTTAGACACCTGAGTCCTAGGTTACTTAGGAATTTAAAGATAAGCACCAGCACTTTGAATTTTGCCCAGAAATTGACCAACATCCAGTGTAGTTGGCTAAATTGATCTTAGTATGCCTGATTAGTTTATATTAAAGCAAATGCAAAGAAAGAAGGGGTGCAAAACCATTTTCAATATTTTCCCTTCTGCATTTTTTCTACCATCCTACATTGGTTCAAATTGTCAGGAAGCCTGATTTTAGTATTTTGACAATTCTGAATACTGATAAGATAGAATCCAGGCATTCTTTGCATGACAGTTTTGTTATAACGCAGCATTTTTGCCAGCAAAATGATTGAAGATAACTCAATTCTTCCCCCCTTTTTTGTTTTTTTTTGGGGGGGTTTTTTATGAAGTTAAACAACTAGTGTTTTTGGTCTCCTAATAATTTTAGTCCATTTCTTAAAAAAAACAGTGTCTTAGTAAGCTAAAATAATGTTAGCACTCACATTTTTGTGATGAATATATTGCATTAGTAGCAATTTACAGCAGTTCCAATTTTAAAATGTTCCAATTTACCTAAGACATGCTGCAACATTCCCTGCTGAGGTTCATATCCGATGGACAGATAGTAGTGGTAATGGTGTAATCATATATAGGACATTAATGATTTTTAAAACCTGGCTGCAAAGCATTTCCCATATTTAAATTCTCATGTTTACGGGGGGCCACTAGGGGGCGCATTGGAAGATGGCCGACAATACCATCTCTCCGACCCACACGGGGTAATTAAGAGGCTGTTATGGGAGTAGGCAGCCTCCCTTGTTGCCCCAAGGAAATGGGGAACACTGCCCTTGCCTGCTGTGCCCATAAATCACCCCTAATTCGAAAGAAGGGGTGAGGGCCCTAGGCAGAATTCCCCGTGTGGACATCGGCTCTCCTGGACGCTGTCTCTGATCGCGCACTAGTTGCAGCAATTTGGAATAATTAATTACAAAAGAAGCAAATGCACATATTTCAAGTGAAGAAGGGGAGTGAAGTCTGCTAATTTAAGTGACCTCTGCGAAAGAAGACGACGGGCTGGAGAAACAGGAATATTTTACGATGAAGATACACCAAAGGCTGGGTATGTTGACAACGGGGCTGAATGGGGGGGGGGAACCTTTTTTACTTCTGTGTGATTTACAAGAACCCCTCCTCATTAGAACCATCGGTTGAACTGACCCAAGCAGGATGATTAAGGTCTGTGTGGAGATAAACTTTAACCAAAAGTATGCTTTATGGAGACCGAGAAGCAATAAGAGCTTTTGGGAATGGTGCAGCAATTAATTCGGAGTCGCCATCTTGCCAAAGGATTTATAGCCGGGAGGAAGAACGGATTTGTTTTCAGACTGCATTCCTAGTGAATCTCCTCAGAGGTTTTGAGAAAGGAGGCAGATTGGTGAAGATTAATGATGCTAAGACTGTTTTGATGTATGGAAGTGATGTTATATGGAAAACGTCTGGATATGGCTACTGGATAAAAATTAATATCCACGCAGGATTACAAACTGTTCTAACCAGCTTGCGGAGACTATCAGAGGTCACAAAGAGAAAGGAAAAATATATGAAAATAACAACAAGAGATGTGGAAAAATAATAAGAAAGGACTGGATAGTACTGTGAACATCATAAGGTTAGATTTGTGGATATTAAAACAGCAGTAAGAAGCAAGAAGTTGATTGGATCCCTTCAGAACTTGAAATATGGGTACCCCCAACAAAAATTTAAAATTTGGCTGTGTAATTTGGAATTTATGTAATTTGGTTTGATTTGATGTGATTGGTCGGTTAATAAAAAATTATTCTTAAAAAAAATAATTCTCATGTTTACATTGTCTGTGTCTATCAGTACTTTGACAGATTTTAAGCTCAAAACAAATTATGCTACATTATTGTAGCACAATGGAATCACCTTCTCTCCTCTCTCCAGAGGGTTGGGGAAACTCCCAGAATAGATTTAGGGGTGCGTGGAGGGAGGAGTGGGGTAAATGTTTCATTGTGCAAGGAGAAATTATTGCACTGATGGAATGTTCACCTAAGCGCTATGCTGAATACAACCCAGCATGATTCTCAAAGTACCTTAGTATGGATCTTAAAGTTTTGAATAAGAAATTGAGAGGGGAAAGGTGCCTATATGGCTTCATAATGTCCTGATTACTTTCATGGATCTGAGCATATCCATCCTGCAACCTTTAAATGTGTGGTTGACTAGATACATGTTTTAGAATGCGATAGTAGAAGTAACTCTTAGAAATAAATCCATTATATTAACAGAATACATTTAGAATGATGAAATAATGAGATTTAGATTGTCTGTTAGGTCCCACAAAACATTCCAGAGGTGACTTACATATAGCATTCTTCATATAGCATATAGATTCTTGTTTACCCCAAGAATCTCCTGATCAGACTGCCGCTGTGTGCTCTGTCTGGGACTACTGTTGAAGATTGCTCAAAAGCTGCAGCTGATGCAAAACTCAGCTGCTAAATTGATTTTGGGTGTTAGCCACAAGAAGCATATAACACTAATTGCCTGTGAGATCCATCAGTTCACAGCTTGTTTCAAGGCTAAATTCAAAGTACTACAGCCCACCTTTAAAATCCTTTAGAGTTTGGGTCCAAGATGCTTAACATAGCATCCCCTCCCATATTTATTTGATTGTGATTAGCAATCCAACAAATTTAGGTTAGTGGAGAAAGCTTTTTTGGTAGTGGCCCTGCATTATACAACCAATTGCTTACTGAAATTTATGATATTCAGATCCTCTGCCTTTGTAAGTAGGCTTTAAAGACCTATTTAATTAGACAAACTTTTAGTAACATGCCTATTTTGCTTTAGTGGTTGCTGTTTTCTTCTTCTACTAATTGTTTCTTTACTTTTTTATTGTATCTTAGTTTCATTGTAAAGTTCTTGCTTTGTTATACTGTGTGTTGGAGTGGAAGGTGGGCTATAAATTTTCTAAATAAATAAAGCTAAGTTGCATTCACATCCTTTCTAGTTTCTTTAAATGATAACCAGAATGTCTTTTTATGTGGGTTTGTTCTCTGTAGGTTCTTGCCTCTGTGTTTACAATTTGAATGTTACCAGTTGTACATATAGTTTCAAAACTGCTGAGCTTTGTCCTGCCTTACCAGTTCCGCCAAGGTAAGGAATAACATGAATAATATTTTGCCTAAATGATAGTTTTTCATTCAAAGCAATCAACTACTTGTTTATTAATTTTTGAGTTTCAAATCTTGGGGGGAAGATACTGCAATTTGAATATTGTTTCTAATTTCTGCCTGCTTCTTTACTCAGTAATTCACTCAAAGTAAAGAGGTGCACTTAGAGACAGCATAGGCCTCCAGCCCCAGTCACCTTAGTCTTTTGTGGGGAAGGGTTTTTCCTATTCTCTCCCCATACAGATAATTATATCTCATTAATCAATTTAATAAAATATGAAATTTAGAAGATACACCAGATTTAAATGTCCCCAAGTAGTCCAATCCATGCATGCAGAAACCTCTATAATGGCAGAAGTTAAAAGACTTCTCTTTGGCAATGCATTGCCACAGGGTATATTGTAGGTTCAGTGAGAGCGTGGTTCCCTTTCCTCCCTAAATTTAACACTGTGTTTGAAATGCTAAGCCCAATGTCTTGTCTGTCTGTTTTAACCTTCTAGTGTGTCTTTCCCATTGTTTAATCGATGTGTTCCACGAAATGCTAAGTGCTATTCCCAGTTTGCTTCTGTACTGATAAATGTGGTTAATGAAGTGGATATTTTTCATCGGATTCTGGGTGGGATTATGGCAGGAAGAGATACAGTCATAGGATTGTGCTTCCTTGCACTAGGTAAGCTAATAGCTTTATTTTATATATATATATATATAACAACACTGCAGCTTTTCATTTAAGAAGTGAACTGCATTTATTATAATTGTAGTTGAAGTTACTGAGTCTTATTTAGTATATTGCACTATATTGTATGTCATTGTTGGTCAGGTAAAAGTTAATTGCAATAAGAGGTGCAATTTCTTGAAGACCTCTGAGGAAGAATATTCTCTAATATTGGGTTTAGTTATAGAATCCAGTGATGTCTGCCTGATTAAGCAACAGATCTCCACTTGTACACTAGGACTTCCCCTTCCTATCCTACACACTAGGCTCTTGCATGTCCACCAAATCTAATCTAGCTGTTCCCCAACCTTCTGGAGCAGATGTTGGGGATGTAGAAGGGTTACAAAGTAGAGGAGAGGAAGGAGTTGTGCCCTTGCACACCTAGAAATCTGCGTGAACAACATGGATGCTACCCTCTGTCTTGTGTGGAATTAATATGACTCAGTGGATTGCAGGAGGCATTTGAGTTTTTATTTTAAATGATTATTGAAATACAGAAAAGACATAGAGTTGCTCTCGTAAAGCAGTCATTTCAGAATTTACTCTTTATTGCACTTTCAGAGTTTGGCAGTTGCTATTTTGCTACTGTCAATGAATTCAATGTACATTATTAATCCTTCATACTTATAACCCTCTGGTACTATTGTGAGCGATTAATAAAGAAGATGTGGGAATTATATAGGACAGTATTTTGCTTAATATCTAAAAAGCATTAAGCAGACTGCCTCAGTATGAATGAGCAGCTTGTGAAGAACAGAAGGTTGATTGTGGATTTCTAGCACGATCAACCAAGAATGAATGTTGCACATAGTAATGTGACACTGATTTGGATGAGGCATTGAAGCAGCCAGAATGCCTATTCTGTATGGCATCAACAAACATAGAAAGCAGGGTAACAAGAGCTGTCAAAATTATTAAAATCAAAGGCTGCAATCATGCTCACAGTAAGGCTGCTTAAATTCATATGGGTTTATTGGTAGTTTGGCATTGATATCGGCAGGAGCGCTGTGAAAATCTCTAGTCACATCTAAAATTCCCATGTAAACCATTTAGGCTGCAATCCTGTACAAACAACTCCCCGTTTGCACTTGGGTTGTGTTCTGGGTCATTCCGTGTGTAAGGCTGTTCCACTTCCCCTTCCTGCCCCATTCCAGGGCCCAGAACAACATACGTGCTGGCGGTCATGTGTCAGTTTGGACATGCGCAAAATGGTCACTGCCTGTACATACTTAACTGGATTAAGGCTGGTTAAACCCAGTGGGGCTTACTTCTGAGTACAAATGCATAGGATTGTGTTAGTAGTCAGCTTGATTAACAAGTCAACTATAGTAACTTTTTTTTCTCCACTTGCAGCATTCTCTATAATAATCATGTTAGCCTTCAGATTCATCAGCGTGCTTGTGATCCATATTTTTCTTACACTACTTATATTTGGATTATTATGTGAGTATTGATCCTTTGAGTATGTATTTTCATATTTTTGTGTGCATCTATATCTATCTGCTAGGATTCAAATTACTGTGTGCAGTTTCACATGTATGGGGAGGGCTCTTAATTTCCCTCCTTAAATGCCTCCTCTTCAAAAGTGCCCTCAAATTTCAGGGACCCTCGAGAACAGTGTTTCCCAATTGGTTGTCTGTGGTAAAAGGTAAAGGACCCCTGACAGTTAAATTCAGTCACGAATGACTCTGGGGTTGCGGCGCTCATCTCGCTTTATTGGCCGAGGGAGCCATCGTACAGCTTCCGGGTCATGTGGCCAGCATGACTAAGCCGCTTCTGGCGAAACCAGAGCAGCACACGGAAATGCCGTTTACCTTCCCGCCAGAGCGGTATCTATTTATCTACTTGCACTTTGACGTGCTTCCATGGTACATACCCATTAACTATCCAGGACATTCTCTTACATAACTTTGAATCAGCAAGATATTCTTGTAAAGAAGCTGGTAAAATGTGGTCTTGACTATGCTACCACTCAGTGGATTTGTAACTGGCTGACTGACCGAACCCAAAGGGTGCTCATCAATGGTTCCTCTTCATCCTGGAGAAGAGTGACTAGTGGGGTGCCACAGGGTTCTGTCTTGGGCCGGTCTTATTCAACATCTTTATCAACGACTTGGATGATGGACTCAAGGGCATCCTGATCAAATTTGCAGATGACACCAAATTGGGAGGGGTGGCTAACACCCCAGAGGACAGGATCACACTTCAAAACGACCTTGACAGATTAGAGAACTGGGCCAAAACAAACAAGATGAATTTTAACAGGGAGAAATGTAAAGTATTGCACTTGGGCAAAAAAATGAGAGGCACAAATACAAGATGGGGGACACCTGGCTTGAGAGCAGTACATGTGAAAAGGATCTAGGAGTCTTGGTTGACCACAAACTTGACATGAGCCAACAGTGTGACGCGGCAGCTAAAAAGCCAATGCAATTCTGGGCTGCATCAATAGGAGTATAGCATCTAGATCAAGGGAAGTAATAGTGCCACTGTATTCTGCTCTGGTCAGACCTCACCTGGAGTACTGTGTCCAGTTCTGGGCACCACAGTTCAAGAAGGACATTGACAAACTGGAACGTGTCCAGAGGAGGGCAACCAAAATGGTCAAAGGCCTGGAAACGATGCCTTATGAGGAACGGCTAAGAGAGCTGGGCATGTTTAGCCTGGAGAAGAGGAGGTTAAGGGGTGATATGATAGCCATGTTCAAATATATAAAAGGATGTCACATAGAGGAGGGAGAAAGGTTGTTTTCTGCTGCTCCAGAGAAGCGGACACGGAGCAATGGATCCAAACTACAAGAAAGAAGATTCCACCTAAACATTAGGAAGAACTTCCTGACAGTAAGAGCTGTTCGACAGTGGAATTTGCTGCCAAGGAGTGTGGTGGAGTCTCCTTCTTTGGAGGTCTTTAAGCAGAGGCTTGACAACCATATGTCAGGAGTGCTCTGATGGTGTTTCCTGCTTGGCAGGGGGTTGGACTCGATGGCCCTAGTGGTCTCTTCCAACTCTATGATTCTATGATTCTATGATTCTATGATTCTAAGAGTTTAAAATCAAAGGCCCATACATCAACACTACTTTATTTCAAGCTTGCGAGTATAATTATATATTTTTAAGCCCACCGTTTGATGCCAGTCTGATTTTTCAGTTTCATGGGCGCTGCAGATAAGGCAAGTATACCTAGGTAGTTCGTGTCTTTCAGATGAAATAAATAATGCCCGTATTGCTGTATTTATTCCAGTTGTTTCAGGAATCATGTGGTGGCTGTATTATAATTACACCAATGAGCCCAGCATAGAATTGGAAACAGAAAAGGAAAACATGAAATTATTGTTTGGATTTGCTATTTTATCTGCAATCATTACGGTAAGACACTTATCACATAGTCATTAGCATTTTGTGGGAAATTTGTTAGCATGGGGTAAGGTGAGGCTACCTCAGATGTATATGATAAACTGGAACGCTACAGATAATTTGACATTTTTGTTTGCAAAAAGCACCTCATGTCTCCATCTGCACTGTTGCGGGTCTCTAGTAGGCAGAAATCAACAACTTCATTGGCCTGCACAAGCCACTAGAGCAGGCATAGGCAAACTCGGCCCTCCAGATGTTTTGGGACTACAACTCCCATCATCCCTGACCACTGGTCCTGTTAGCTAGGGATGATGGGAGCTGGAGGGCCGAGTTTGCCTATGTGTGCACTAGAGACCCCTGAAAAACTTTCTTCTCCAACCGCCACTCAAACAGTGAAGGCTGGGAGTAGTGGGCCGCACATGCTTATGTACGCATTCTTGCATTTCACACCTGCAGACATATGGAGGCACACAGCCCCCTGCCCCAGCTGATCTATGCAGATCAGGCAAGGATTGTGGTTATCACTTTCTCTTCACACACCAAATGATCCATCTGATGACTGGAGAAGGTGTGATTTGCATCCCCATGAGGGTGCTTGGCTGCCTACCCCAGTGCTAGGACTACTTTATTTTTTTCCACTTTTTGCTGCTGGTCAGTCAATGGGGCCAGAAAAAAATGCTTGGCAGAAATAAGTAATTATTTCAATGGGACCTGCACGCAACTAGCTTGTTCGAGACTCAACTCAGCCATATTATATGGCCTAGTGTTGAATGTGAAATGACCCATGCCACAATTAATGGAGCCATTTGCAAATTCTAGTTTATGATTTTCAGAATTCAGTAGTTTGGTATGTTTATATATTGTTGATAGTGTTGCAGTAGAATTAAAGATCACCATTTGCTATTCTTATATTCATGTTTTGTTGTAGTAGAGAGGAAAAAGTATAAAGCTGCTGCATAGATGAATTGTAGCACTGTGTATTAGGCATCTGTGAGACATCTTCAAATTAGATCAGTGTGGATTTGGGGGTCTCAAGAGCCTCTAAAAACATGTGAGAATCTCACACGCTGGCATACCCTGTTGCTGGCACAAGGTGGCATGCTAGGAGAAGAAGCTTGTACTGTAGTTTTGAGTGTACCTTTGCAAAACTTTTTTTTTTGCAGTACAGTGTTAAAAGCTGAACCTTTTGCTGCACAAGAAACGGTTCTGCAACAAGGTGCAATTTTGTGTTCCAGTAGTATTATTTTTTACCCATAGATCTGACAGGCCTCTTTTATATCTCTGCTTCTGCTAGGGTTGTTCTGTAGGAACTAGAAAAAAGTTCCTGAACCAAGATTGAATGACCTTAAAATCTTAATATTTCTCCATCCCAAATGTTATTAAATTGTTAACTGAAAATTTTTAACGTATTATTTTTCCTTTTTTGTAGGTTATTCTCATTCTCCTGATACTGATATTAAGGAAGAGAATTCACCAAACTATACAGCTCTTTCATGTTGCCAATAAAATTATTGGCAACGTCCCTTCTTTGTTCTGCCAGCCACTTTGGACTTTTACAATACTTCTTTTCTTCTGGGTGTACTGGGTGGCTGTGTTACTTAGCTTAGGAACTGCAGGTTAGTAGACTTTTTTTTCCTGTGATACCAAGCTATATCAAGTATTTTCTGTTAAATATGCACTTTTTGATGGTGAAATATACACACGAATGTGAATGTATAAGTGTGTTTTTAATTTTTTTGTATTTCAACCATAGTTCCTGATAAGTGAAAGGTAAGTCATCTGGCACATTACTGAGGATATAGAATCCAATCGTGTTAGATCCTAAAAATATTTGGTTTGTGTTGACTTTGTAAAACAGCCCTGTTTTCTGCTATAAATGCTGTACCTGCTTGGCTCTGTTTTAAGAATATATGTTGGATATAGTTGCCACAAAGGTGCTGATGAGTATCATACAACCATTTTAGTTGTCAACTAGAATTTATCCAACTCTTCTTAAAGCATGTTCTGGGCCATGTGGTTTTATTTCCCGTTTTGATTTGCTGCTCTTGGCACCATTATAAAGGTCAGCATTTCCTGGCAAAACTGTCTTTAGTTTCTCTTAGACACATTTTAAGGAGGCTTGGGTGGTTGTGACCTTGAGTTAGAAAGGCAAAGTTGATAAATCCATGTTGTAGCTTATTGTTGAAACAACACAGTACAATAAGTGTACAGTGGTTTGATTTAATGCACCACACCTGCTAAAGAAATATTTTGCTTCTGCTGTATAAAAATGTGGAGAGAATAAAATGTGTGCAGATGGCACGCAAAGTAATGAGGAAGATTACAGCACAGTAGCCCAATTTGCGTCTTGCAGCAAGTCAAGCTATGGCTTACTGGGACCACACAAACATGAAGGCTTCTATAATGGGAGCTTGCAGCCACTTCATTCCTTCCATATATTTATTGTTCGCTGGCCATGCTGAGCTAAACTCGAGGTTTGGTTTAGCATGTCATCTGAACCTGGGCTTCTGTGTCAGTTCTCTCCTCGCTATCCCTGAGGTCTGCCCACGGTTGTGGGAGTAAGGTTGACCTACTGGGACCTGCAAATGAGGCCAATATAAGTGTCAAATCAGAGGCAAGATGCTAGAGGCATCATTTCCCTTTCTGCAGAGTGTCGAAAAGGGTGCCTGTTGTTCTAGCTGTCAGTTTGTATCTGTTAATATCTGTACAGTTTTAACACGCAAGCTACAATCTGCTTTGTAGAAGTAAAAACAAGAAAGAGTCTTGTGGCACCTTCAAGACTGACCAATTTATTATGCCACCTTATTGTGTCTGCTGCAAAAGACTAACATGGCTGTCACCCTGGAAAGTATGTACAAGTTGTTGCCAAAAGATCAACTTTTGTTTTCCTTCACCTTTAAGTGACAAGCGAGCAGTTATCAGATTTAATCCGGCCCTGTTCAAGCTGTTGCAGTGCGAAACATTAGCTTGATGTAATTGCTGCAAAACTAATTCAGTTGACATCTATGTATTTTAAAATTCTGCACATAGAACAGCATTCCTAGACAAGGTCACAGAGTCAAGTCTCAGAATTGCTCCTCACTCAGCAAATATTTCCATTAAGTACTCATTGTGCTGTATCAGGTGTCAATAAATTCCCCTACTCCATCTGCAAACATGCGTTGGCATGAGATAGTGTTAAATTGCTGGTATATCCCTGCCCATTAATGTTAAGTGTTGCAATTGTGTCACATTCCAAAATGAGTCCACCTTCCTGCCTAGCACTGTCTGCCCTTTACCAGAAGATTTCTTCACCCTGCTTTTCTAGTCCAGATGACCACTTTCAGGCTTCCTTGAAGAGTGGAAGGCCTTAAATAAAATAAATGTTGGCACAACCTTCTACTTATAAAGAGTCCTGACAGGTTTGAACAGCATTGTAACGTTGAATGCCAGGCCTATCATTTCCATGCAATAAACTAAATCATTAGCAAATATTTACAGAAAGCTATCAAAAGTGCAACATTCTGAGTGGAATGCAAGTTGTGCTGTGACAAACATTCCATCTGCGCAAGCATTTCACCTTGCCAGAAGGAATGATCCCACAGTTCTCTCCTGCATGCTGTTCTGGGGATTCTCCTGACCACTCTCCCAAGCCAATTTCAGGGAACAGACAGGATGTTGGGAGGGAGAGGGGAGCCCTGTTGCACAAGCAAAAGTCTTTGCACAGGGGTTCTTCTGATGGGGTTGCTGGGTGAATCCCACCCTCTGCACATTGTGGTTTGTAACTATTGTTTGCAAATATGTGCTAATAAGAAAACGTTCTGGAGAATAACGTATAACTGATTCATTAGCTCTCTTCAGGTGCGCCAATGTAGCAACAACACCCCGAAGTCATCCATCTTCCCACTGCTCTCAGTTGGGCCAGTCCACCAGGGTTTATATATTTATAATTCTTAAAAACCCATTTAAAAACAAATCAGCTGAATATTATATATATATATATATATATATATATATATATATATATATATATAAAATCAATCATGGTTAGAATAGTTGAACTAAGGAAAAGTACATTAGATTCATGTCACCATTTAAAAAAAATAAATTTGTTTGTCGAGTCATTACATTTTTGTGTGTGTCTTGAATTTGCAGGCAATGCCCAAGTTGTTTCAAGAGGTCAAGTGGAATACAATATTCGGTTTGGCATTCGATACATGTGGTGGTACCACTTAGTTGGGCTTATCTGGACAAGTGAATTCATTCTAGCATGTCAGCAGATGACTGTGGCTGGGGCAGTGGTTTCTTACTTCTTCAACCGGTATGTGCAGCATTTATCTTCTTGCCAGGAGTTTTATTTCTTAGTCTTTATTTTCAATCTGTTGTGAAAGAAATTGTTTTCTTAAAAAGCCACGGATGGTTGGACTTTGAAAGCTAAGGCTACAGTCCTACGCTCACTTATTTGCCTGGTAGTAAACTCAGAAATTACTTTGAGTAGTATTGGAATGCAAAGTTGGTTATTCTGACATTGTTAGAGATGAACTGCAGCAAGAGCCACTGTAGCTTAGTTAACAGACTGTAAACTAAGCACTTTTTATTTCAAATGTGAACTAGAAAGAACTGTGAACTAAGCAGTTCTTACTTCGAATGTCACTACGGGATGAACTTAGTGGCTGCATTTGAACATAATACACAACCATAGCTTAGTGCTATGTGAGTGATATTCGGGCTCATGCACTCTCCACTCATCTTCTCCAGTGCGTCTGTGGAGGAAATCACAAGTATTTGCTTCAGTTTTCGTTTAATTGTAATCTTTCACTGTATGGTTAGTTTTATCTGTTGTTTGTCTTAACAAACCAGCTTCAAGCTATTGTTCACGATCTTAAATTGATTAGGTAAAATCATAGTTCAAACTAACTTTAGTTCCTGATTTGGGTGGCTTGACAAACAACAGTTAGTGGGAAACTGAAGCAGATTGTTTAAGCTACTGTTTAGTGTTCTGTCCAAGCCAGGGTAGTATTTTATTTTATGACGGCTACTATCTCTCAGCCTTGATGTGGAATAATGAAACTGAACTACTTTGCTGGCTTGTTGTAATGATTACTGAGATAATATGTGTGAAACATGTTGAACTCTCTAAAGTGATACATAAATGCTTTGTAAGCGAACTGTGCACCACGGGTCTCTTAATTGCGTATGTATGAGAGTAACTGTGAGGGATATGGCCATTGCTGTATGTTCTAGAAGTACCAAGGGAGCTTTAGCTTTAGCCAGTGGATGAGATCTAACATAACATTCACGCAAGGAGTCAGAAAGCTGATGTTGTGCAAGCAGAAGCACACAAGCTTAACTGTCATGTTGCACAACCCTTATTGTTATTATATGTATTTCATAAGTGCAAGACACCTATTGGAATCAGCTGAACGAAGCTTCTACTAGCTGTTGTGTGAGCAGGCTGCCATAACTGGATACCCCATGCCTCTGGCACCAATAAAACTGCAATTCAAGCAGTATTTGTTCTGTTTTATCTCAGAATGGACTGTCTAATAGCCGGAATTCAGTCATTCCAGAATAATTCATGTATTGGCAATCATTTGTAAGCTGATTTTCCACTTCTCTCTCCTTTTGTGAAGGTGTTAATCAACCTTCAAATTTTTTTCACTTCAAAGCTATAATTTGTGTCATTCTGTACAAATATTATCTTTAATGACCTCTTAACAAGAACTCTGTTACATTTTGACAAATAGTTTATTTAAAGCCTTTTTTATTTTTGTGAAATTAGCAACTCATCCTCTATTACATTCATAAACTTTCATTTTCTACATGCCATACATAATACTGTTCTTCTTGCAAAGTGATATGTTCTCAGCTGTCTGAAGTAATTTAGATCCCATAAGAGGGTAGCTTGTGCAAGCAATTTTTCATACTTGAAAAACCTGTCTGGCTTGTGCAAGCTTGTCTCTATGTGTGAGGCTGATTTGTTGGGTTATGCCCATTGTCAGTTTCACTTTACATATGATTCATTCTTTAAATTTTGAATGTTCCCAAATGTTAGTGGTGTAATTCCTGCTTTTTTAAATGCCCACTCATATAATAGAATGAGTGCTTATTTGAGGAATGTTGCCTTTGGGAAGAAAGAATGCTACTGGCATTGTCAGTTGTGAAGTAAGGTTGAGAATGGTAGGTGTTTTTAGAATGTTCATGGAGGTATTTGTATTCATAGTAGTTCTTCCAGCACGTTTTTCTGCTTAGGAAAATCACTGTGTGCTGATTTCAGTAAGAATTTGTTTCAAAATATCACATTTGTCTCTCTACAACATATGTACTGGTCTTACATCATGCTGTTAATGACAGACTGGGCCACTAGAGGGCACAAGAGGCACATAGACTGAGCCAAGGCTCTGAATCCACCTCAGAGCCCATATTGGTCTCCTCACAATATTTCTCAAACTTGGGTCTTTGGCCGTTGTTGGACTACAGCTCCCATCATCCCTGACCACTGGTCCTCCTAGCTAGAGATGATAGGAGTTGTAGTCCAACAGCAGCTGGGGATCCAAGTTGGAGAAACACTGCCTCAGGGGACATGCCAAGAGGACTCTCCCTCCCTCCCTAGCACCAATGGAAGATTTTTATTGCAGATGAGACAGAGGAAGAGAGAAAAAATAAACAAATAACATTCTCCTACCCATGGTTTTTCCAAAAGGACAGAGTGTGAATTATTATGACCCTTTTGAGGGTTTTAGAAGCCAAGGAAGAAAGAACACACTGTGGTATTTTGGGAGAGAACTGAGGCAGTGAGAGGGAAGATTTTGTAGTCCATGTGCACCAGCACATGGCACTTTCACTTGTAAACCATGATTTAGCAAACTAGGTCATATAGAAATGACTATAAAAAATAGTCATTTCTAACACTATTGTTATATTATATTATTCCATTCATCCATCCATCCAATTTGACCCCAGTTAATAGTACAGGTCAGGGTTGACTTAATTCATGCAAGCTAGAGATATTGATCTCACCAGTCCTTTCCCAAGGGTAACAAGCATGCCTTCTCTCCTCGCACTCTCCCCTTCTGATAAAGTGCACCACTGTGACCTTCAGAATGGCTTTGTTCCTTTGGCACATCTCTCAAAGCAAGAGCCATCAGATGAGAGTGGGTGTTTGTCTGCTCTACACTGTTTTCTCTTTTATAATGCTAGATGATGTATGTTAGCATTGAAATTCATGTATTTGCCAAGGAGAACGAGCCACCCTACAGTGTCGGTCCCTCTTTCTATGATTTGCTTTGCCAGCACATAGAGGTATTTAAACCAATGCAGCAGACTAATGCGTGTAGAAAGATGAAGCAAGAATGCTATCACACGCTTTTGGGCAGTAGTACGGTATGTCACAAGAGCTTTGTTTATCACATCGCACGCAGAGCCTTTCTCTTTAGCTAGTAAGCATTTACAGGAAATAGAGCAGCCTTTACCTCAGCAAACCTGCTTCCTCACTACACAAAGCAATCTATTAGGCACTTTGCAGTCTCTCCATAAGCGGAATTAAAAGTGGGGAGGGTGGAGAGTTGTTTCAGCTGGATTAGCTTCACAGGGGTCGTCTGTTTGACCTGAAACTGTACTTTGCTTTCTTTTATTTTAGGTAGAAGATGCATTCTTTAGAGCTGTTCATAATTTAATAACAGATATACAGCTTCTCTACCACCTACTCTTTCATGATTTGTGAAAGCAGAATTCAGTATTTTGAAATCTGCCTTTAAAAAGAACTTCATATTGTGAGGTTGCATTTTAAGCTTTCAGTTTATGGTGAGTAAGGATGCAAATTTGGTACCTTTAAATGAGTGGCAGCGCAGCTGAGTGACTAATAAGTGGGTATGAGCTGAAATCCCAACTCAGGCCTAATTTCATTGGTTGACACTGGGGAAGTCTGTAAAAGTGGTAATAATACTCTTGCTGTTATTTCACGTTTATTTCAAATCAGAAATATATAGAAGGCAGCAAAGGATTGTTAGGGTGATAGTAGTGGGGAAGAGATGCATTGCTAGCTTCGCTTTCCATTAAAAAAATTCAGTGCCTGAAAAGTGCTAGTAGACCATACCATAAGATTGTAAAGTTCTATGGTGCTATGGAATGAGATACCTCATGCTTGTATTTCACAGAGGAAAGGGAGCTTCATTTCACAAATTTTTAAATATATTTTTATTATGTAGACAAATCCACAGTCAATTTTGTGAGTGTAGATTATTTTATTTACTTTATAACAGCACAAGGAACAGGGCACATGCCACCATGAAACTATCTCAGCAAGCAGGAAATCAGCTCAGAAAATTCATGTTGTAAAAGTGTCTGCAACAGCATCAGGGGTATCTTCTTCTCTTAAGAGTCCTCTTAACAGCCGTGTGGTACTGCCCAGTTGAACTTAGCCCAATGCAGTAACCATGTGTCTCCACTGCCCAGTACTAACTCAGCATTCTTATTAGATGACTTTGATTTTTTCTCTGCAGTTGAGTGACGTCGTTTGGGTTGATATACCAGTTGATGACATTTCCTGAGCTATATTAGCTCTACCAGCTGTCTCTTATCTTGCATCTTTTGCATTTTTGGTTCGATCTTAGATAAAAGGAAAGTCTTTGTTCTGTTTTTTGACCTGCTTAGAGCCCATAAAGCCGTGAAACATTATCAGAGCCTGTTCTCTTCAGTTTTCCTTGGCTGGAACCAGGCAGTTGAAGAATTTGTTATAGACTTATCCAAACACACTTCAAAATTTACCATTTGACTACATTAATGAACACACTTTAGGTAATCTTACAAGTAAAAGGTAATCATACGAATACAATTCCTTCTTGTGCTTTCAGTAAGAAATTAATTATTAATAAATGCATAATCCTTGCCTTTTTTGCATGTCATATGCTTGGTTAATATATTTTTTAATATATTCTGCAGTTATATTTTCTCTAGGTGTTTCACATGTAAGCATTTATGAAGAGACATTTGATTAAGCTAAATTCAAACCGAGATAAAGATCTATTTCAGAAACATAAGAATGATGACTTTTAGAAAGTATGTCAATGTACTTATTTTACATAGAAATCCAGCACTTACCCCCAAAATGTTCCCCTGGCCTGAAGAACTGAAATGAATGCATACCATTTTCCTGGTATTTCCTATTGAAAATAATGTGGTGCATGCATATATAAATATAGCCTTATAGCTGTAGTGTAGCTATTACTGTGGAAAGGCTGTAGGGATTGTATTACTATGATACCTACCTAGGCTGACATGGCTATGTCTATTTAAATTCCTGCTTAGGTGAAGATTTAATAAAAATATATTTACAGAACTTCAGTTTCATACTTCACCCATTGGCTCTTGTTCTTTTGCGAACACTGCTCCTATTTTGTAAAGGTCATGGCAGAAAACACTTGAAAGAGTGAACATTTTAAAGTGTGATTCTCATTTCATTCATTCTTGAGGCTTGTTTTGGATTCATATTAATGCAAGCTTGAACTCAAATAATACTTGAGAAGTTCTGTTACAATTGTGTCCTGCGATTCCCATTAAGCTCACCTTCAAAAGCCAGCTCACAGAAATCTATGGTTTGATCTTTCTCCCTCCCCCCCATCCATTATAATGCTATAGTCAATCCTAAGCAGTAAAGTCCTCATTTCACCATTAGCAGTACTGCATACCAGTTTTATAGTTTTTTGGAAAGGAGGCCTAATCTTATATTTAATAACTGAAGAGAAGAAGAATTAGAGTTTATAATGAAATGGCAAATAGGGACTAATCAGATTAGTGGGGGGGAAAGAGATTAGCTAAAAACTGTATACTACAAATTTCATATCGGCTTTTCCCTATTTAGAGCTCTATTAAAATCTTCTCCAGTTTTTAATTATTTGTTTACTTACAGTAATTAGACTCCTAATAAAAATGTTTCCAAGTGGGACACAGCATATTAAAAACAGGATAAAATTCACTAAGCTTAAGGTCCTGTAGAACAGAATCAAAAGCAGAAGCACTATTCCCTGAATGTTTGCCTGAGTAAAAGCGTTTTTAATATGCCATAGGCAGTTGTAGCATATCAGGAGATAGTGTGTGCCATAACACTGAATGCCCTCTTATGAATATTTCTCAAACAAACCTTGGAAAGCATGTGTCCTTATCTATACAGTGGTACCTCGGGTTACATACACTTCAGGTTACAGACTCCACTAACCCAGAAATAGTACCTTGGGTTAAGTACTCTGCTTCAGGATGAGAACAGAAATCATGCTCTGGCGGCACGGCAGCAGCAGGAGGCCCCATTAGCTAAAGTGGTGCTTCAGGTTAAGAACAGATCACCAGAACGAAGTAAGTTCTTAACCCGAGGTACCACTGTACTTTGACAGATTTTAAGCTCAGAACAAATTATGCTACATTATTGTAGCACAATGGGACCTCCCGAACGAATTAAGTACTTAACCTGAGGTACCACTGTACATATGTGGGTTTTTGGTCTCACTGGGGGCCACACCACTCTTTTTGCAGCAGATCTGTTTACTCAAAAGATGGGTTCTCCTGTGCCCATCAGATCAGGGAAAGTGGTGACCATGCAAATTTCCCCAGGGCTCTACTAAGCATGTAAAACTGCATTTTCATTCAGGGAATTTCCTAAATGCTTGTGAAGGTTAATTTCCATAGAGTATTCCACAGTGTATTATTCAGAGAATAGGATTGGATAGCACAGTTGTTTTTGAGTGGTTTGTAGCACCCAGCACTGTCACAAATATAGTGGAGCTTCTGGAATGGCAGGGTTGAGAGCATGTAAATTATAATGGCCTTAAATATATATGCATCCAATTTGATGGCACGTGGGCTCAATTCAGTTTTTCAAAGGTCAGTAGATACAGGACTTCCGTCATAATCGGTTAACAAACTATGAGATGCCGATCCTAATAGCTATATTGTGTTTCGTTTTATCACCTGTGTAGTTTTACATGTTTGTTTTTCGTTCTAGAAATAAAAGTAAACCACCAAGTCATCCAGTCCTGTCTTCCATATCAATTCTTTTTTGTTATCATCTGGGAACAGTTGTGAAAGGGTCCTTTTTAATCACAATAGTGAGAGTCCCAAGGATTATTCTATTGTCAATTTATAGCATCCTGGAAAAAAAGGTAGGCTTGTACTTTAGTTTTGTAATGCCATCATATAGCAGTTAATGCATCAAGGAGCAGAAAGTAATGATATCTGAGCATCATTTCCCACTCTTGTATTTATTTTTTACTTACTTATTTATTGAGCTTTATAGCTCAATATCATCCCGATTCCAAATGTTCACAGCAGGTTACAAAGTTCAAGAGACAACATTTCCATTGTGCATTCTTAAAAGTCTCCACCCCTTGATGGCTTACCTATAACCTAGGGGTGAGGAACCTCTGACTTGTGTGCCTAATTAGTTCCCCACCCCTGCCTTCACCTCTGGAAACCAACCTAAACAGACAGATTTTGACAAAAGAAGTATTTAGGGTTTCATGGATTAGAACTGGAACTTTGAATTATGACTGTGAAGATAGTATGGAGATAGTGGAATTATGAACACTAAAGTAATTCATTTTCCTCACACACCCTCCTTAGGCACAAAGCTGCCACATTCTGAAGAAGCTAAAGCTTCTGAATAGTTTACAAGCACAATACCATTTTGAATGTTGGGGACTGTTCAGGAAAAGGCTGATGGCACAAATCAAGAAAATGCAATGCTTATTACAGGAATTAATTTTGGATTTAATTTCTAATTCCCAGCATTTTTATTTTTAAAATATCCTGAATCCTTTAAACATTTTATTTACATTAAAGTAATAAAAAATATTTTGTGTTCTGCTCATCTCTGTCACATAATGTAGTTATTAAAAGAGCTTTTCTAGCTTTTATTTTCCTCTTCTAAAGGAGAATAAATAGTATTGAATGGCAGTGGCTTTTGTGATCTGTTCAGAATGTTGTAATAATGTATAGCAATACATTGGAGATCACTGCATAATTGTAAGACTAAGTTTCCCAGAAAGCCTGTTATGGGAATTTGGTCTACAAATAAAGGAGACAGGATGCTGCTAAAACGTCTGGATCATACCAATGTTTCAGTAAAAGTTCTAGTGATCTTTCCTATACAGAATGTCCTACTTTGCACTGAGACCCTGTTTTCGGGTATCAATCCCAAGAACATAACAGGCTATCTAATACGCTGCTGCTGCTGCTGCTGCTGCTGCTGCTAGTATAAACATTTATTTACTGCCTGTCTGAAGATCACATCCAAAATTATGTTTCTTATGGTCCATAGAGCTCCTTGTACTGTACAACTGTCCTACAGGTTTTGCAGTTGCAACAGCTTTCTTTTGGAAGGAATTCCCCTTCTCTCTCTCCCCCCCCCTTAAGAAATAAGACAATATGCAGCTGTCTGGGTGTCAAGCTGCAAACTATATTTGCTAAACACACAGCATTAAGCCTTTCTGTTTCTCTATTTTCTAAGCAGATGGAAACTTAACCAAAATTATTCACAGGCCTGATCTACATGTCTTGTTAAGGCACAGTTTGTCTTAAACCATAGTTTAATTGTGAATGTGCCTCCCCCTCATACATGGTGCCTGCATTGTCTCGAGGAAGCCATAATATGACTTGTCATGTTGTCCGAACCCAAACCATGGTATGTCTGTTTCAGACAAAACACAAGAAATACGCCAGGACTAAACCAAGAACATAACACAACAGAGGTGGTAACTACATAGCTGATGCAGAAGTACTTCATACTGCTTTCTGACAATGGGGGTCCTGGAATAAGGAAAACTTAATTTGGAGCAGTTCTTTTGATTATGCACATTGTGTGTTACCAAATGTAACCTGTCTTTAAAATGCAGTTGCCACAGTCTAGCAGTTTCTTGTGCATACAGAAACTCTTCTGCCAAATGAAAATCCAAAGTGCAACCATTTCCCTAAATATTTCATATTTGGGGGAGATGATATCACATATTACTTCTGCACACATGGAAGCATGGGATGCACTATGATTTCACAACATGTAAATATAAAACACTAGCTTTGCAAATATGTTTCTGGCTTTGACAACTAATTAGTGCTGTTTCCCACTGCAGAAGAATACATGTGCAAGATGCATATTCAAATGCTGCTGTTGCTGTTTCTGGTGCCTAGAAAGAGGCCTAAGATGCTTAAACCAGGTATGTTATATCAGGTGAAGTTTTGTATAGATACTTGGTTTTTTTACTGCAAAAAATCAGAATGAAAATGGAGGTTTTTAAGGAAAATACTTCAAAAGTTATTTAATTTTTACTTGCTCAGATTAGCATTGGTTCAGAAATGCTAATTCTGTTGGTCACTATCACAGCTGTATACTGCGACTGGCATGTTTGTCACAAAAATAAGCATTATCTACTACTATGGTCTTTGAGGAGTAAACAATTGTGTGCTTGGTTGATGCTACCACATGAGATTTTTGTGCATGCTTTGCTATCCTTAGAGTCTGTTGGCTCTCAAAGTAGCTACAAGACAGATTAGTCCCAAGTCAGATATATGACAATTGTTTGTACTTATCAGCAATCTCTATCTTCATATATCCTTCTTGTTTTTTATTATGTTAAATCTTTGATGATATAAGTTATGAAAATGCATTTTTGAATGGGTGTTTATAGGATAACTGGGTGGTTTTGCTACTTAAAATTATGCTTGAAATTATTATATAGAATGTTTTCTTAATGTTTCCTTGACACAATTATTTTATAGAGTTACGTAACTTCTCTTATCTGTTTTGGGCTTTTTTTAAAAAAAGAAATGTGAAATATTGTATAATAAATAATCTGTGTAAATGCAAAATTGTAATTTCATGAATCCAGTCTGCTAGTCATACAAAATATTTAGTATCATCCTATTTTTGATGGTTTTAAGAAAGAACAATTAAGTCTAATCAGAAACTTCTGTAGGAAGATGCATTTTCCCTTATAGTCAGTCTCCTAGTTTTCCTCTAATTACCATCTCATTTTTTCATACCTTACTGTTGTGGATTTTATTTATTTATTTATTTATTTATTTATTTATTTATTTTGCAGTAGTGATAAATTGAGGTTGTTAGGAATTGTAGTCTGGAGGATCTGGAGGCAGCATGCTGGTGAAAGCTGCACGTGGTTATGTGTCTCATTGAATAATTAATTAAGCAATTAAGCAATTTTTATTCTCTCTCGCCTTCAGCAAAACTGGTCTCATGGTAGCTACACACAACTCTGTGAGACAGGTTAGTTAGGCTGAGAGAGAGTGGCTAGCTAAATGCCACCCTTTGAGCTCTGGAGTTTTCAGCCTAGGTCTTCCTAATCCTCACTGTGCTATTGATTAAAGTTCAGTAAGATGGCACACAGATTATAAATGATGTACCATGCTGGAGCTGTGGTGTATTCTCCCTGGATATAGGTAGACTACTTACGACAGGTAGGCAGACTACAAATAGGAACAAAAGGGTGTCTGAATGAGCTGAACTATTCTGTACCTGGGTTGGGACAATTCTGTATGCGGCATGGATTGAGACCAACCAGCTTGTATGAGCAAACCAGAGAAGCTAAATACAATCACGCCTGACCAGCTTGTTTTTGGCTTCTTTTAAAAGAAGATTTTGTTGCTATGGCTCTCCTCTTTTCACTGAGCTCATTTTTAATAGAGTCCTAGAATGGAAGACTGAATTCAGCTGTTACACAAAGTTGCAATTATTCTTCAGAAGCAGGAAACTTTAGGGCTTGGACCTGTGCCACAGGGCTTTTCTCATGAAGCTAACAGGTCAGTTTTTCCAAGACCCTTGACATTCATTCTGTGTTGTGAAGTACAGAGGGATGTTTTTCCCCCCTAAGTACTTTTTTTGTGTCTACTGTGCTATTTCAAAATATGTAAACAATCCCATTCCTTATTTATCTGTGAGAAATATAGTCTTTGGTTCCCAGGCACTGGAACATAGGGGCTGAATTTCTTCTAAAAGGGAGTTGTAGGATAGTAACTTATTTATTTATCACCTTCCACACAGATCTCAAGGCATTGTGCAAAATGCAATAAAAACATCTGAATAACACACACACACACCAATAAAACCCCAACACAGGAAATAACAGCAGATATATCAGAGACCTATTCATCCAGCTAGGAAAGCTTCTTAGAACAAACCTGTCTTCAGTTGTTTCCAGAAAGTTCAGATAGTGGGCGTCTGTTGTGTCTCGACAGGAGTGCTGCTCTGCAGAACAAGGCCCTGCTCCGAGTCTCGGTGGAGTGGGTTTCTGGTATCTTTAGAACTTGAAGGAAAAGCTATACTGTAGACCACAGTGACTTACTGGGTATATAAAGGATTAAGTAGTCTCTCAAATGCTTTGGGTGTAAGTGTAACTGAATTGTCTGTGTTCCAGACTTGCTAGTTTGTACTTCCGTTGCAATTTTGGTTATCTTGGTCTATGGACTTGCGGTGAACATATGAACTAGCAAAGGATTTAAGTCTTTAACAAAACATGTTTAAATTGTCAAAACGACAAAGAATCTTGTTAGTTTGTTTCGACTACGGCAGACCAACACGGCTACCTACCTGTAAAGAATCTTGTGTTACGTTAAGGACTAACAAATTGTTTTATTTGCTATGCTTGTTAGTTGCTTGTTACACAGAGGTATCCAAGACTTAAAATATGTTTTAAAAAATTATAATATTGACACATTCGTACTAAAATGCATGCAATTTATAGAAAACCTACAACAACATCCCTCCATATCAGCTGCAGGAAGCTGTGGCAGCACAGTAAAAGCAAATACATCATCATAATAGTCCATCAACAGCCTGGTGGGGGAGGAGTGAGTTATGTTTTTACCAGGCACCGTAAAGATGTCAGTGAAGGTACCAGGCAGATCTCAATAGGGAGAATGTTCCGCAGATGGGGGCTGCAACTGTAAAGGCTGTAGTTTTCTGTAAGTTTTCATGGATTTCATTTCACTTGATATAAGTCCACAGAAACATATTTCAAAATAAATGGTCGATCTTTAAAGTGCCACATGGATCTTAGGTTTTTTTTTGCTGCAACCAATGAACTCTGTCACCCCTTTAGAAATTGCTAAAGTAGTCAGCTACCAATAGAATTCATGTTTGCAAGTTACGTTTCGTTTGATTTTTCTTCCACCTCCACTGCTATATTAAGTGCAATGATGTACATTCATTAAATCAAAGCCCAAAACTTTCCTAATTATGAAAAGAAAATTCAAATATGGGGCATAAATCTTAGTCTGAGCGACACTTTTCAGCAGATGCTGAGGAATTTTTCAGTTTCAAAAAAGCAAACTAACTGTAATGTATTCAAATCCCAAATAAATATGGAAAACTATAAATTCTTTTGGCAGAATCACTTTGCTTTCTGCTAATCTCTGTTAAGAATGCCAATATGGGATGGCTTTTTAAAAAATAGTTCAAGAATGATGTAATTCTTTTTCTTTTTCTCTAAACAAAATACGACTGCTTTCAGACGGCTGAAAAGAATAATTGTACACAGTTTCACACATTCCTTTTTCATTTATATACCCACTTTGTACTTCAGTAACTAAATCCTTGAGGAATGCTGGGCATTGATCTTCAGAGATTTAAAGAAAACTGTTTAATTTGTGGTAAGAGGTTTAGCTGTATTTTTTTTAACTTTGTTAACCATTTCAGTTAAGAAGAAGTTCTATGGTTTTTGAAAATTGGGTTCAAAGATTATTCAAGATATTTTTCATAGAATTATGGAATACTTTTGTCAAATCTGATTTTGAAGTAACTTTGGCTGGGTTAAGATTTCTACCTTCTACTTTTCATTCTCCTTCCTTCCTTTTTTAAAAAAAACTAAACCAATTTACATTCTAATTACAGAATGCATACACAGCAACAGCCATAAATGGGACATACTTTTGGACCTCAGCAGAAGATGCTGCTGTTATTTTATCAAAAAGTTCAGCTAATGCCACAGCAATCAGCTGCTTCAGTGACTTTGTTATATTTCTAGGAAAGGTAAAACCTTATTATCACTGTGCCATTGATTATTAACTGAAAATACTGTCTTGTCAATATTTTGTGTAACAATGGAATTCAAAAATCTCAAAGCTCAGTTCTCCTCTCATGGCAATTAATATTGCTCCTTACTTGAAATCTCCCCTAATCAGTACAGTATAATATATAGAAATAAATTAGGATTCATGAGTGATGTTTATAGAGAAATAACAAAGTTTGAAATTTTTAAGTAAACAGGGAAGTCCTGTTTGAGTTGGGTTGGGCATTCTGCAATATTGTGACTTGGCATTATATGAGTTTGAGTTGCAGTGCCTTTCCTTTGCGCCCTCCCTGACTTCCTATTTTGTGTGAGTCAGAAGGGCAAGCACTAGGAGAAAACTAATACCCCACCTGAGGACATCTTAAGAATACCTTACAGATAAGACCAGTGGTCCCTTTGTGCACACTGTAGTTTCTCCAGTCCTGTTGTAGTAGCAAGCTGGCGAATTGTTGTGATGTTATAACTCAGAGGGAATCAGGCTGCACAAGGAGAGGAAGGAGATAATCGCACAAGCATGAGGCTTGTTCATGTAATGCCAAACCATAATTTGCCATTACATCTGAAGCAAGCATTGGAAAATGGTGCTGCTTTCCTCAAGCAGTTAATAGTCTTAATTTAATATAATATACAGATAAGAATTAAAAAGAACAAAGCAAACCATTTTGCAAGCAGAGGGAAGGTTTGAAATAAGACATTCCCTGTAATCTTTTGAATGCAATAATCTCTAAATGCTAAATACACTTAAATGTTTTGGTCATCTTTGGTGAGTGAAGTCTTCAATAGCTTCTTCTGAAATATAGTCTCTACATTTATTTTCATACAGGTGTTTGTGATATGTTTCACAGTTTTTGGAGGTTTGATGGCATTTAACTACAACCGTGAATTACACGTTTGGGTAGTTCCACTGCTGCTGGTTGCTTTTTTGGCTTATCTCATCGCCCACAACTTCTTATCAGTATTTCAGACAATAGTGGATGCCCTATTGCTTTGCTTTGCTGTTGACAGAGAAACAAATGATGGATCTGCAGAGAAGCCTTACTTCATGGACCAAGAATTAATGGTAAGCAGTTAGACAAAACTTTAGCTTGGGCAAGTAAGCAGGCACTTCTGTAGGTCTGTTCACACCGGAATAATCTTTGCCATGTCTTTGGCCACAGAGGTGGAGATGAGCCTGGTCTCAGTCACCTTCCTGGGGTTGGGGAGAGCTTCACTTAGAGGAGATGGAATTGAAGTTGCATCAGTGGTTCTGCCTCTGCCTTAAGGCTATGCAATAACAGTGAGGTGGGACTCTCTTCAGGCAACCCATTAGGTCCCTCCCCAGCATCCAGATCAGCTCCTTCTAGACAGGGTTCAACTCCACATTCTCACTCCAGTCCTTTGGAGTGAGAGCAGCCCTGCCAAGAAGTCTCTACAGGGCTTATGACAGAATCAGATTGGGTTTACATCCAGATAAGTGTGTGTAGGATTACTGGCTTAATATGATGTGCAGTACAATCTGTTGCACGTTTACTCAGATAATCCCTATTATGCTCAGTGGGTTTTACTCCCAGGTGTTTGTAGGATTAAAGCCTTAAACAATTCCTTCTATTGTTGACCGCATCCTGTGATGTATGTATGATTCTTTTAGGGTGGTCTTTGGCTAAGGGGTTGGGCAGTTTCAAAAGTCTTTAAAGGTTCCTGCATACTTGGTTCTTGGTCTCTCTTACCTCTGTGCAAGGGGAGGAGAGAACTCTGTTGCAACAGAAAAATAAAGATCTGCCTTGCTTTCACTTCATCCTGCCTCCACCCATTCATCGATGACCGAACATGGACCTGGGGGACTCAGTCCCTTGGGGAGTTGGGCAGCAACAAGTCAACCCCCCCCCTTTTTCTACAACACATCTTAAGGTATAAAAGCTAACAACATAATCCTAAACAGATTTAACAGGAAACCAGTCCCACTTATTTTCAGTGGGTCCTCCTGCTAATATCCTTAGCATTTCAGCCTTAAGTACCAATTCTATATGTTTATACAGATAAAATCACATTCATTTTAATAGGAGTTCCTGATAATTGTGCTTAGGAGTATAGTTTTAATTATATATTTTAAATATATACCAACATTTCTTGGTGTGAGAGTATGCAAGTGTTTGAGTAAAAAGTTGGTCCGGTAGAACATGAAATGCAAGGCCAACAGAACAGCACTGATGTTTTCCTCAACTGTTCTTCTATCAAGAGGTCTAGAAAAGGACAACCAAATTGATCAAGGAGGTGGAGAAACTCCTTGATCGTAACATTTGGGGCTTTCTAGTGTAGAAAAAAGGTGAGTTAAGAGGAGACGCAATCGAGGTATATAAATTTATGAAGAAAGTGAATGAAAAACACTTTCCTCCCTCATAACATTAAAACTCAGAAATATCCAATGAAGTTGAATATTGGAAAATTTAGGGTGGGGGAAAACATACTACTACACACACTGAATATTTAAACCATGGAATTCACTTTGAGAATGTGAAAGGCCACTTGGGTGGCTTTAAAAGATTAGACAAATGCATGGACAGTAAAGCTATAGTCTGCCTCCACTGTTGGAGATAGCATGCCTCTGAATGCCAGTTGCTGGGAATCACTAGTGAGGAAAGTGCTATTGTGCTGAAGTCCTACTTTCAGACTTCCCATAGGCATCTGGTTGGCCACTGTGACAACAGGATTCTAAAATAGTTGGGCTGCTAGCCTCATCCAGCAGGTGATTCTTGTGTTCTTAAGGGCAGATATTTTCCTTTTGCAAATATCTGTATTACAGCAGAAAACATCAGCTTTGGCTAAAAAGAATCAGAAGTAGGCTGTCAATCAACTGGTTGTTTTGTTCTTTGTAGAACTTTTTGGATCAGAGCAGCAAGTTTGCAGAGAACACACATGGAAATAAAAATATCCTTCATAACAAGGAATATGGCACAGAACTTCAGCCTATGGTAAGAAACAAGTAAATGCCATAATATATGGACATCAAATAACAAGGTGTATTTTCTTTGCAGTACAAATGTATTTTATACTTTGTGTTTCCAGTACAGTACTTCTAGAGAAGGGAGGAGGATACTTTTGGAAGAATTATTCCTAATTTCAGAGTGGGATATTTTGCTCGTGTAAGCAGAACATGCTTTAGCATCATCTTTCTGTTTGAAAGCCAAGTATAGTGGGTTCATGAGCATAGCGCTACGTTCTGATATGTAATCTTCCCAGACCATATTAGGTATATACCGGAGGATTAGGTTGCCATGACCTGTTTCTTCAATGTTGCTATATTCTTCCATTGAATAATGTAATTTTCCTTAAGCTGTATTCTACATATTTACCATAAAAAGGAGGGATACTGTCTGCTTGTGTGTTAATGAGATCAAGTTTTAAAATCAGCAACAAAAACAGCACTAACCAATTGCTGTTTTCCCTGTGCCCCCTCTTTTACATGGGCATCTTTAAGGTAGTGCACAGATAAAGTATATAATATGTATTTTCTCCTAAAAATAGTAGCAGCATCTTTAAAATGTTTCTGACATAATTTCACTCTAGTGTCCACTTAAAAAAATAGAATTTTTGAAACAAACTAGTGTATCTGTAGCATAATTGACTTGAGTTTTTTAAAAATTGGGGTTTTTTCTGTGCATGGTTTTTACAGTAGCAGCCATCTTTTTTCTGCCAAAATAGTTTTTGCCAGGAAAGAAAAACTGCACTTAGTGCTCATGTTGTAAGCCCTGACAGAGCTTAGGCTCTGCATATTTTTTCTTTTCAGAACTTTCTGGTGCATGGAAATAAGCCAGTCAGGCAGTCTGGAAGTGTGGTTTTAAGTTTATTGTGTTTATGAATGGCTGTACTTGGCTTTCTCATTGTATGTGGGTCTTTGAGTATTTTTGCCAAAACAAAAGACACACGTACGCCAGCAGAATAATCTGAAGTATTATTTCTACGCCAATCTTTCTCTTTTTATCTCTTCATATGCTTTGTGTTGCTTTACAGACTTTGTCTTACCATTATGACTAATCCAATGCATTTTTCATTTTTCCTAACTATAGGCCAGAACTTGAGATGGTTCTAAAAGTACACAGCAAAAACAGCAAAATTCAGATAAAAGTGAAGGCTACCAATATTTTGAGATAAATTATCTCCTAAATCAGTTTGTACCTCTTGCACTGGAAGAGATGATCAACTCACTCTAACTCTGTGAAAAACTAAAAAAATCATTATGTATGGTTTTATTGAAATAGTATTTAAAGATGTTTTATACTAATTATCAAATCTGCTGTAAGTTTTTTGCACTTCGACATGATAAAACCGTCTTTTTGGCATAAAGCCCCTTAAGAAAGTAAAATGAAATTGATTCAGCAACTTTTATACAAAGGTAACTCACAATTTACGTTCATTTAATTTGTGTGCATTCAGTTTTATGCACTTAGCAAAAAAAAACTGTAGAAAAAGGGTTGGTGTCTGAGGAAAAGGCTTTGGCAATCCCACCTGCCATTGAACCCAATGTGTTTTTATTACACTTCCGATTTTGGCTTTGCATCCTATCCCTGGAATGTAGGCACAGCGTAAGTTGGGAGTCACCTGTATACAATGCACCCTGGATAACAGCTAAACTGTGAATAATCATGTCATAGATTAAGAAGCAGTGCTAGTTAGAGGGTCCCCTATGGTAAGGAGTACGTTGTGGAATCATGTTATCTAGGAATTTTTGGTAATGTTCATATGATTAGGTTCCTTCCATTGCAGTCCTTTATGGAGAACATTGTGCATGTCCTAAATTAACAAAACCATTGATGTCCTGAAGAACAATTGTATCCTGCAAAGGAGAATCAGTGATCAGTCAAGAAAGCAAGTCTTTAACAACAAAGACCAAGAGGTTGGAAATATGTGCTGTATGCATTCCTTTTATTTTGGCATCCTTCAAGGGACAAAGCCTCATTAAATTAGGCATATCTATAGGCGCTATCTGGGTAAGTAATTGTACTATTTCTATACTGTACTACTTCTATACTGTTCCTTTTTACATACAAGAGTATTTTATGATAAACTTATATTCCATTACATCAAATGATGATCCCCAACTACTAGTAGTCTGTTTGCTAAAAGAGTAGTCATTTTCTTTGTGTGCAGAGGGCAAGATGCAGCCTGACCCTCTACTGGTTTGCATATTAAGTTATGTGGCACACAACTCAGACAAGCCCTTATTTCCCAAAGAACATCTGCATAACAGGCCTTTTCCCCCTTTCTGAGCAAAACCACCTCTTTAAAGTCTCAAAAGCATACTGCTGGCTGCAAGTAAATTTTGCCTTGAATCTCTCTGGATTCTAAACTTTTGGCAATGAACTCTCTTTTACAAGTAAAAATTATAAGCAGCAAGGTAGAATCAACATGAGTGCATTATTTCCAATCTCCAGTGAATTGTTTTGTTGAAAAGGAAAGAATACGTTTTGGATAAGTTATAAACAAAGGGACAGTTGTAAATGTTTTCTGTAATTTGAATTTTGTATTTAATAACACAAGTTATCACATGCCTCCAAGAAAACAACATTTATTTATAAAAAATACAACAAGATCGGTTTATGATGAGAAATGTGGCAATAAATACAATTCAAAGAAAAGGCAATTCTACATGGATACATTATGGCACAGGAAATAAAAGTCAACGCACCATCAAAACATGGAGACTTCTGTGGGCTCAGAATTTATACAAGCTCCCTTTTTAAGCAAGTCAGCTCTTTTTCTATAAGCTTGGTCAATTTAGATATTGGAATGGAACACACACAATCACAAATGCACATTTATTATGTCTACTGTGAGTTTAGAGATTAGCAAGCAAGTACTTATGAACAGACAGAAATCTTGCAGGTAATAAGCCACAACCTCAGTTTTTGTGGCATGGTCCACAATTAAGTCTTACAGTTTTCCACATAATGGAACTGTAAATAAAAACATTTTTAAAAAAGGAAAGGGCTGATATAGTATGTAAAATGCTCATTTCAGAACAAGGTTGTAAAAAAATGCATAGTTTTTATTATTAAAAGACTTGGCTGTATAAGAGAACTCCCCCTTTCACAGTATTCCTTTTTACTTCATATGCAGTTATTGTTATGCTGTAGACTGCAACTGTTACAGCACTAAAGGCAACTAGAGAAGGAAAGGGCAGAGAAAGGAAAAAGGAATGTTATGTAAGGCAATTATTTCCTTAGGTACATGAAGCATAATGTGTAAAGAAGACGGGTAACAATTCCACAAGGCTAGTTTCGTTCTTTACTGAATAAAATAATAAACTAATACTGAGCTTTTGAGGCAAATCTAATAATCAATGCCCTGGTCACTGTACTGACCGTGGTAATCTCTCTGATATTCATCTTGGTATTCGCCGTGATAGTCATCTGGATATTCTGCCTGATAATCGCTATCGCTGATTTCTGACCCATTAGTTCCTGTTCCTTGACTTCCATTATGAATGACAGGTTCTGTTGGTGCAGCACAATACTTTGGATCATATACTTGCCGTCCAAGCCCATAAACGCTCATCCCTTTCTGGGAAGCCACTTTGTTGGTGCCCATTTGTAGTGAAATAGTGGTGTTGTCCATGGGTTGTAATGTGAGCTTCTGGTCATAAATGTCTCGTCTTGTACCTGGTGCAAGCATCCCTGCCTAAAAACAAAGGGTTTAAAGCAGTTTGAACAGCATTGTGACTTTTAAAATAATAATGAGTGATGGCAGGAATGCACATGTGCATAACATTTTCTAGATACTAGCTACTCAGCATGGAAGTCTCCTAAGTGAGATTCAGCAAGCAACAGACTTCTCATCCCATCACAGAAATCAGAATAAAGCACATTATACTACGAGGAAGAAGCTATGGGTGCATGCTGAGCATCTTCACAATTTTGTATGTGTATTGCAAGGATGAAGAGTATCCTAAGTGATTATAAACTGGGTAAGGAATTTCACAGCCTCTTTGATTATTCTGAGCTGCAGGCTACATCTTACCCCAAAGCTATTTAACATCTATATGAAGCTGTTAGGAGCAATCATTAGGAATTTGAAGCACAATGTCACCAGTATGTTGATATCTATTGTGGGTTAGCAGGTCTCAAGTTCAGAAACTGGGTCATATTGCCTTTTCTGAATAGGGTTGCACTCCCCTTGAAGGAGCAAGTTTGTAGTTAGGAAGTACTCATTGAATTGTGTTTGTCAGCAACTGCAAAGCCCCCTTGCACAGCTTCTGTGCTATGTGTAAAGCAGACTGTGCTCCCACCCATTAGCTGATGCACATCTTGACCAACCAGGATTTACCTCTGTGTAAGAGAGCTGGTTTCAGGGAACTCTCATGCACTGGAACCCAGCGCTAAACAGGGCTGACCTTGTACATCAGCTGATATGTGGGGTCCATCCAGTTTGATCTAGGTGTGAGAGAGCTCACTAGAAGAAACTCATGTACCTGAACCTGCCAAGCTTCAAAGAGGATTACATTGGACCAGCTGCCACAGTGAAGAAAAGCTTCCTTTTAGCAGCACCTTGCTGCCATAGATGCTCTGAAGTCTCAACTTTCAAAGTTATACCCACCAATCATAATTGGCCCTTTAGGAAGATCCTGGTAAGAATCTGGCCCACGGATCAAAAAAGGTTATTCTCCCCCCCCCCCCGCCCAATGCTACAGATTACATTATTCTAATGCACACAAAAATGGTGTGGAAGCTGCAGCTAGTGCAAAATGCTGGTCTAGAAATATTTTAAAATAAATAAAATACCAAACAATGAAAGATAAAGTTTAGGACTGCAGAAACAAATATCTTAAATATGAAAGTAACTTTTGCTTACCTGACTAGCCCCTTTGTTAGTACCCATCTGCAGGCTTATTGTTGTCTGGTCAAATGGTTTATCAGTTTGCATCTTTGGATCATAGAGATGTCTCCTAGTCCCATAGGCAGTCATGCCTGCCTGGCTGGCACATTTATTGGTTCCCATCTATAAAGAGAATGAGGATCACTTGAAGAAAGGAGTTCTGATTGAGAACTACCATAAGTAAATGTACTATACTAGGCCAGTGTATTGAAGAATGTAACATATATAAGTTGTGGTGGTGTGCTCAGTGCAGGGAGTTCCTGGTTCCCAGGGAATGTCCGTTTCCTTCAGATAGCAGACCTTAGAAGGTGAGAGAAACAGAGAGGAGACCTTCAAATACACAGTAGGAGCGTCCTGCTCCTAGAGCTAACAGCTCTTCTGCAGAATGAAGTTCTTAGGGCAGGGCGTTGGAAATGATCCTTTAAGAGGGGACATGTTACTTAGTGACTTCCCCAACTTTTCTGAAGGTTGCAGACATCACATGTTGTCTAAATAGTATGGGAGAGCAGTCATGGTACACATTGACACCAACAACCTTGGGAAATGTTTGTTAGGCATGTTGTAATCCAAGATCTCTGAGGAAAGGAAAACAAAGGGTTTATTAGAGTAGTGTTAATCTATGTGTCAAAGTCAACTCAACTATATTAACTTCAAAGGAACAACAGAATGGGTGCCTTTATGCCTTGGTTTGGGCTCCTTGGAGGTGTATCCATTTGGTCTCTGTGGGAAGCAGAATGTTGCATTATATAAAACTTTGTTACCCTCATCTTATGTTCTTAAGATTTCAACTAAAAAGAAATATCTAATACAAAAAGTACTAAGATGATGTGTAACAGCAGAGAGGGTTATTCAAAGATTAGTTACAGAGAGCCAACCTGAAATCTTCACGGCTGTCTTCTGCTCTACAAATTACATTGAGTGGTGTGGTAGAATGCCTACACCATACCAGTAACATGTGTAACTTCTGCTGTGTAATTACAGTGCCAATCCACCTGATTACATGAACAGAAGATTCACACGTTACTGAGTAGCACAGGAATAACAGAGGCAGTGTTAATCACGCTTTTCATGTTAACAGGTAAACCAGATCTATGATGGACCAAAATAGAGCAATTCTACTGTGACCTACCTTATTCTTCCTCATGTATGCTTCCTCATGTTGTTGCTGCTTACCTGGAGGGACAAAGTGATGGCGAGGTTGGAGCTATGCAGATGCACCAGAGGAAATGCCAGATTGGCTCTGCCAGGGCTTTGCTCCTCCAAGTAAGCAGCAGCAAGTGCCTCTTCCAGCAGGCTATTGCTGTGGCTCAAAGCCACTCCTGCTGTTTACTAAGCATAAATAATTGTCCATTACACCTTAAAAGGTTTTCCTGTGTATACTGATTTACAGCACAATCCCATGGATTCAGAAAGCAGCCCCACTGAGTTCAGTGTGGCTTGCTCCCAGGTATGTTTGTACAGGATTGCAGCCTTAGTGAACTTTCAATTTTTCTGCTTACCTGCAAACCAATCACACTTTGTCCAGCCTTCAGTTTTCCTGCATCAAAACTTCTTGCTTGCTTTTCTGCATATTTGACACCAATATCGATTGTAGTATGAAAGCCTTTGGTTTTTGCCTAGGAGGAGAATAGAATAACAGCATTTCTAATATACATTTTATACAGAAATACCTTTCATATCACTTGCTTTTGGTTGTCCTTGATTTAATAATTCTGCGTTCAATTTTAAACCAATTAATGCAGGGGTCAGTAAACTTTTTCAGCAGGGGGCCAGTTCACTGTCCCTCAAGCCTTGTGGTGAGCCAGACTATATTTTGAAAAAAAATATGAACAAATTCCTGTTCCCCACAAATAACCCAGAGATGCATTTTAAATAAAAGGACACATTCTACTCATGTAAAAACACGCTGATTCCCGGACCATCCATGGGCTGGATTTAGAAGGCAACTGAGCCGGATCCAGCCCCCGGGCCTTAAGTTTGCCTACCCATGAATTAATGGATCATTGATTGTACAGTTTCAAGAGCTACTTGGCAACAGAGGTGAAGGCATGGATAACATCCCACAACTTCTGCAGGCCAAGCTTCATATTTGGTTTTACCAAGAGTAATACAATGTAGCTGCTAGACAAGTAAAGCCTCAATCCATGGAATTTCATGGCATACCTATTACATACATCCCATAGTTGAAGTATTGATCCTTTTAGATAGTAAATGTTGTAAGAATCCTAAAACACTTTCTATGCTTTATGACAAGGTACCGTGCTATAAAATGGTTAATTACAGTTAACCTATGAAAATGCATGGAACTCACATAGATCAATGTAATGCACTGGACTGCATATGTCATTATGTACATACCAGACCTGCTAGTGCCACCAGTGATGTCTGAACCTGGGTCATATTTCCGTTTTCAAAGAGATCATTTGCTTCAAATATATCATGTGGTTTCATGCCATATTGTTGTATGGCCTTTATAAAATTCCCAATGTTCTCCAGCTGAAATTAAATAAATGCATGATGGTCTTAGTGCTTGATGATATAATTGCATAAGGCAGAACTAAATACTGTATGGGAAAGTATGTAATAAACTTGGAAGATTTTTTAAAATAAAGAAAGCCACTTTATAATTGGTTTCAAGCAATTTGGGGTGGGGGCGCGCACTGGGGTTGCTTAAACCTTTACCTGACCTGTTCTCCACTCTAAAATTCCCCCTTTCATTCCTACTTCTCTTTTTAAAGTGGCTGTCAGGATTTTCTTACTCATGCTTGCATGTTTTTGTTTTTTGTTTTAATTCTATTCCCCCTGTTTCTCAAAGGAGACTCAAGATGGCTTAAACAATAATAACAACTGAATAAAACAATCTCTTTTAAAAATGCCATTGCACATTCAAACATTAATAATACCCAGTCTGTTTTAACAAATTTCAGCAGCACAAAAGTGAAATGGAACTCGGCCAGCATAAATTACAAAATTAACCAAAAGTTTATTTAAAGAGTCAGAGCTTCAACAGCTACCAGAAGCAGTATAGTGATAGGGCCTTACATTCAACATTCAGCAAGGCATTCAATATAGTAGGTGCCACAACATAAAATACCCTGTCCCTAGGTGACAGACACCAGCCCTGCTTCCTGAGGCTGAAGGATTTGGAGCACAGCCCAGATGACGATAAGGAGTGTGCAGAGAGAAACATGGAAGGAGGCGGTTCCTAAGGTGCCCAGGTACCAAGTGCCATTATGCACACAATGCGGAGATGGACTCAAAGGTTCAAGATTGTTTTAAGCACTTGAAGAAGTTTTCTGCCTTTGAGCTATAAATGAAATCAGCAAAGAATATAGGCCGATAAAGATCTGATGGTTAGCACACACATTCTTAACTCCTTAATTTTGTTTTACTTTGTTCAGATCTGCCAAACTGGCAGGTCTAGTTTTATTCTAGTTTTCCTACTGTATGCCAGCAGTTGTTCAAATCCAGTTTTCAGTGAGAGACAAAATTTCTCAAGAAGGCAAGTGTTCTACTATGACCTTTCCTGTCTCAGTATCTATTTTCAATTTCATTTTGTATTGCCCATTTATTCTTTCCTGATTTGTGCAATATGGGTAATTACATTTGTTCCTGTAGTTCTATGGGTCATTTATTTGGAAAGCAAATACAATGGACCAGATTCCTTGGGCAATTAATAATTTAAAAGTGTGTATAGCTGTAACGAGGGGGGGGGCAGAATAGAAGGGCATTTGCGAAGAGAAAAAGATTTCACCAAGCCTAACGAAGTTGTAATCAAACCCACCACTTCTCCAGTTTCTACAATAATTGTCTAGTTTCTTAATATTCTATTCCCATAATATAAATTACCAGGTTTGGTACTTTCAATGGTATTCTAATAGTAAAAAGAGAAGCTTATACAGTTTAATCATTAATGCTTGCAAGGTGAACAATTGCTGTTTCCTCAAAAATAAATCTGTAAAGGTGAAGGTGTTGAAGGCCTCACTGTGACAATAACTGTCATTAAGCTTTCATTCATGCATTTCCTCTCTCCTTCGGAGAGAGACACTATATTATTTGAATACAGTATTTAAATTGGTTTGTTTACCTGATGCCAGTTTAGTTTGGATTGATTGATTTTCTTTACTGATCCCGGGTGAAGTTTGTTGATAAGCCTGTAAAAAACAATCAAGTGAATAAACTTCTTTCTTTTCGCATAGCCACCACCAATTTGAATCTCCATATTACAGGACTACTAATGCACAGATAAAAACCAATATATAGCTGTACCTTGGAAGTTGAAGGGAATCCATTCTGGAAGTCTGTGCGACTTCCAAAACGTTCGAAAACCAAATTGCGGTTTCTGACTGGCTGCAGGAAGCTCCTGCAGCCAATCAGAAGCCGCGGAAGCCTCGTCAGACATTGGGCTTCCAAAAGAGCATTCATATACAGGAACATTCACTTCTGGGTTTGGCAGCCAAAACGTCCGAGTTCCAGGGCATTTGGGATCCAAAGTATGACTGCGTATTTTATTTGCACATACAGCTTATTTGTAAGGCAGTTTGCATAATAGGCATGCTGGTAAAGCCACTTTAGAAGGGATTTGAGCCACATATCTGAATGTCCTCCTTGGGGGGCGGGGAGGAAGAAAATGAGAATGTCAGGAAAAACATGCCATCCTATGCGATGAATTTGTTACATTTTAAACACCTGTAAATTTTAAATACACTCATAAATGGAAATGAGTGATTCATGGGGGGGGGGGAGGGTGAGCGAGCAAACCCATTCACCCTTTCTGCCCTATCTCATTGCAATCTGTTGCTTTAAGCAGCTTTTCCCTTGGCTCACTTCTGGAGTTTGAGCTAGGCTGGTGGAAAATTGCTTGAAGCAGCTGAGCACAATGAAGTAAGGGAAGACAAAGAATGTTGTTTCTCGCTTCATGTGCTGCTTTTTGTATCAAGGGCAGATCTCTTTCTTAACATGTGAACAGGCCCTTAGAAACACGATTAGATAGGCTCAACAACTTTGGTTTCCATAAAAAGATCCAACAAGTTTGTAGGTGTCATGAATTTTACTTTTTGAAATATGGCAATCCTAGCAACACTTAGTAATTTTACTGGAAACGACAGGATGGGAGTGTTATTCTGCTTGGATCCTACTTGCAGGTTTCCACAGACATCTGGTTGGCCACCATAAGAACAGAATTCTCCACTAAATGGACAGTTGGCCTGATCCAACAGGCTCTTATGCTGATTTTAATTGCTCTTTGGCAGGGAAGGTTCTGGTGTATTATCCTATTCCCTTTTCAGTGTTGCTTAGAAGACACACTAGTGATACCAGTGCTATTTATTGTTTGTGTTTTGTTTTTTAAGAGGAAGAGAAAAGGCAGAGAGAAAGAGTTCCCAGATATAATGGACAACATTGTTCTTTTATTTTTAAAAGTCATGTTGAAAATATTTTTGTAGGTGCAACTTTTATTTATTTATGCAAGGGCAGCTGCATCTTCCAACATTACCTGTTCTATACACCTGTTAAAAGATAGCAGCCCTGCCCTCTTTTGTGTATTGTAATGCTAAAAGAGAGAGAAAGAAGTGGACATATCCAGGGAATGGCGAAACAGAACCCTGCCTGGGGTGCAAAATCACCCCTGAATGCTCCGACTTGAGGAAAGAGTTACTTGTGTGGGGTGAGAGGCATGACAGGCAAATTCTTTGGATTGCAATTGCCTCAGAATAAACTGAGATGGGGGAGGGTTAGGGGTGACAGAATGACTAGTGTTGCCACTGCTGTCTTCATGCTCACTACTGACAGGTGCTTTTAACTTCTCCCAACTTTTGCATGCAGCCCTCAAAGCCCCCTCTCCACAAGGGACCCAGCTAGACCCTGCCTGCCTGCCTCCCTGCTTGCCAGTTGAGATGGAGGGCTCAGCTGGTGGCTACTGCAGTAAAGTGATGGGGGTGGGCGGTGCTGATACAGTTCTCTACAAAGGGTGCAAGGGACCCTAGTACGTCTTTGGGTATATCTGGTAAAATAATAATGGGGGGAAATCACACTGTGTCCTAAAATTAAATGTGGATCTTATTTCTGAAAAAGTTGGCTACTGGCCTAGAAACTAAAGAGCTCTGCCTGAAATAAAACATGATGTGGCTTACTCGCACAGTATGATGCCATCCTTTAAACCCAGTTGAAAGTTGGCTCCAATGCTCATGCCAGTAACTTCTTCAATCCAGTTGCGGAGATCTTCCTCTATCTGTGGATCATATTTCAAAGCAATCTGCAATACAAAATAATGATCAATTCAACACTTTATCTGATTTTAATAATGCAAAATTCATATTTGATTAGACAAGGATATTTTATAAAAGCATCTGAAAATGGATCCAATGCTATCCCAGAAATCAGCGTCACTAATTAGCATAAAGTATTACAGTATTTATCATTCTAAACCCTCATGATAATTTTCAGCTCTTCAAATAAACCAAAGGGTTTTTTCTTTGGAAATCTCTTGTCTAATGTCTATTCTATTCATAAGCATACTCTGCTGATGCAAGTATTCACTGAAATTCTACATGACCTTCCTTGTATGTCATTCTGTTCACTTAGCAGACCACTTGCATCACAGCTGATTCATAACATATAAATTAACAGTTCAGCACTATAGCAACAGTAAACAGTAAAAAGAAAAAAATACATTCCAATACCAAATTTTAAAACCACTTTTGCATTATATTACCCCATTCCCATTCATTTATCATTTGGAAAAGTACAATGTTAGACACAAGGAGGGAAAGAAAGAAAATCTGGAGCAAATCTGAGTCAGAGAAAGCAGTTAGCAATGCAATCCAATGTATGTTTATTTGGAAATAAATTCCATTAAGTTCAGCAGGGCTTGCTCCCAATTATGTGTGCACAGGATTGCAACATAAGGGTAAAAAAAGACTGTTCTTTCCACTTCTAGTTGTATATGTAGATACACCTCAAATTAAAGAAAAACCTAACATACCAAACTCAAATCACAGATTTGTTACTCTTTAACATACTTTTGGGCAGTTAATAAGCAGAGTTGCTTGCTGATGAATAGTAAAAGAAAATTGCCCCCTCTAGTCCTCACACTGATTATTCTAAATTGGATTAGGAGAGGTAATATTTTACTCTTTTACTGATATTCCTGCTTAACAAGGAGTAAGATACGCATGTTCTCCAAGTCTCTCAGAATCTGTAGGCCGTGTGCCGAGCCAATATTTCACAGTAATACACAGTGTACTCTCTGCTTGTATGGTGTTGCTACGAAACACCCCAACATATGTGAAATGATGGATACAGCATCTAAGAAATGTGTTTACATTTTGCATTCAGTTTTGAGACATCAATAAAAACAAACGTGGCTCTTGTTTCAATATCACCTTAATAAAACAACAACATTACAGTACAATCCCTACAGCCTTCCAAAGGCCACTGAAGCACCACTCTACTGGCAGGATGACACACTATTGGAAACACCTTGGAGTGCCAGGAAAAACTTTTCTGGGTGTGGATGCCCCACCAGCAATGCTCCACTGGTGCAGAGGGTCAAAATGGGGCATTCTGGGAGCAGCTATGGATTCACAGGATGCTAAGCCTTCTTCCCCTGACGTGCCTCCTACAAAGGTCTGAAGCTACAACAGCACTAAGACTGGTATAGTAATTTCCCCTCACTGAGGTCAATGGGCAGGAAAAACAATCTTGGGGGAGCTTTGCTGAGAAAGAGGGCCAATAAATATTTTAATTAATGATTGATTGATTTATTTTTTAATGGAGGGTTCATGTCTTAGGTGGAGCAAACCAACAGAGCTATGGATGTGGTGGTTCTTCTACATGGAAGCATAGATTCACTGCTTCTGCCGAGAACAACCTGCATATACAGAACTCAATATCCGTTTGCCACCTATTAGGAACTTTCCACAACCTGCTCTCTACCCATGCACAGATATGGGGGACACCACTGTTCTATCTATGGTATCTTTAATTAAATCCCACACAGTAATGCCCATCATCAAATGCAGTAATATTCACAATTGACACAGCATACAATCAGAAGGACACATATTGTTCTTTAATTTTAATTCTAATGGTTTGAATCAATGTTGTTAATCATCCATTTGTCTCAAGAGACAATGGGGTGCGCCTCCAGGGGTGAAGCCAAACTGCTGTGTTAGCAGCACCAAAGTGACCTCCCCTGGGGTGCAAGCCTGGGCAGTGTGTATGGCGGTCCTGGGCTGCTCAGATGACAAGACCCCAGCCCAACCCTTGGACTTGCTGATGTGGTCCAAAGGAAAGCAGAGCAATATGTTTGGCACCAGCCTGGCTGCAGGAGTTGCTGGAAGGAGGCATACAAGATGCCATCCAACCATCTTAGGGACTCCACTCTGGATTTGTATAGGGTTTACTCCTTAGCCTTTTCTTCTTCCAAAGATATCTCGCAAAGTAGTGGAGGTTTAGGATCAGAGCTTTCCTTCCTACATCGGCTACCTTCCCAGGTTGATGAGCCTCATCTGCCCAATCAATAAATAATACTATATGTGTGTATAATATACAATTTGTTGCTTCTATGTTTGAGCTGAGACCCTTTTTAATAATTTAGAGAAAGTTAAAAGAGCATGTTATCACAAGAGGCTTTCAGAGAGAGGCATTCAGCTGTTGAACTGGAGAGCACGAAGGGTGAGTAATGTTTCTATCCAGACCATTTATTACCAAGGAATGTCATCAATTTTGTTGTTTCTGCCAAGTCATCATTTTTCAATCTTCATTTCTCAACCTTCCTGAACATTTGAAACATGATATTTCCATAGTGAGACAAGGAGTAAAATACTCAGTACCTTGAAATGCTTCTTTCCTCACTATGCTCCAATAGCCCTGTACTAGCCACATGACACGCTACCAAGAATGCCAAAAAAACGTTTACTACACACATGCAGACAATGCTGTATTTGTATTACCCCACCCCGCCATTTCCTTCACACTATCACTGAACTAGGTAGTTTTTGGGCAGACCTGCAGTACTCATCTGTAAAGGCAAATAAGTCATTTGTAGCTCTAATAATAATTTCATCAGATTTTAATATTCTATCATGTCCAGTACTTGTGTAGTAATTGCTTCTGTGCTATAAGGTGTGTTGTTCACATGACATAAGGCTACTTGTATGATTCTGAAAGAACACATAATTGCTATTCTCTGAAAGATTACAGCATATTACATTATTTAAAATATAGGAAGTGTTCACAAACTATGTACCTATCCTAAAAATAAAATAAAAATCTTCCACTCACAATGTTACGGTTTCTAAAGCTCATGGCTGCACAGATGTGATTGACAAGCCACTTTCAGACTTTCTTCACACATGAAGACCTAAAAAAGTAGGGCTTGAAAATCACTTTCCTTGGCCTGTCATTGCCACATTCTACATACACCAATCTATGACCTTTGTACTTTGGACTAAAGGTCTGAAAAGGAACAACTATGTACATAAAGCTAGACACATGTAGGAGCTAAAAGCAGTTTCTACTCCTGCACAGTTAGGGTTTCCCATAACATGGATCACCAAAGCACATACAGCTGTATGTGCCCAGATGTTGCTTTTCAGATCTTAGAATCATAGATTCTAGTGCTATAAGGGACCCCAAGTGTCATCTAATCCAACCCGCTGCAATGCAAAAATTCTGCCCACAGCATTCCTGGGTAGACCTGCACCGCCAGCCTTCTGGTTAATAGCCAGACACACTGAGCCACTGCATCACTGGAGGATGTCTTCCCCTTTATGGGTTAAATTCAAGGGCTGGGCCAGTAGGGTGAGCAACACTGCAGGTGAGGCCAAAAGGAACAGTCCCACTCACTCCTATGTATTCACTGTACACTGGGACAGTCTGAATAGGACTAAAGAATATAGGCAATTCTACTGGAATCTCAAGAATTCATTGGCCTGCCAGTAACTGGGAGCAAGAATTCAATGACCTGCATAGTTTACAATCTCCATTACCACCAAAGCCAAAAAAAATAAGTAAAAAAAGCATAATAAGTTATGCATATAAGAAGTACAATATTTGTTCAATCTGTACAGTCTAGCTATTCTTCACATGGAATTTGTGCAGAATTTATTTTTAGCTCAGGCTACATGCAGCCTTGTTTATAGGACTGGGCTTTGAGAGAAAGCAGAGTTGGATGACTCTCTTCTGTTTCCTCCCGAAGCAAAGTTCTTAACCAAAGGTACTATTTCTGGGTTAACGGAGTCTGTAACCTGAAGCGTCTGTAACCTGAAGCGTCTGTAACCCGAGGTATCACTGTACTTTGCACTTACAATCATTCACTCTAACAATGAGCAGGTGCTCAGGTCATAGCTGTCAACTTTTCCCTTTTTTTAAGGGAAATTCCCTTATTCTGAATAGGATTCCTCACAAAAAAAGAGAAAAGTCGACAGCAATGGCTCAGATATAGAAGCGTAGAAGTTGCAAGACTGGAAATGGAGCCCTGAAACAGGTCTGCAAGTTGCAGAGCTGGAACTGGCATAGGCAGTGCTTTTATTTTTTCTTTAAAAAATATTTAGGGGTACTCTCATTTTCCTACTCATATTGAAATACTGCCCCTCAATGAGGCCAAACTTAGATTCACAAAATGTTTAGGAGTATGCGTACCCCTGTGTCCCCCCAGAAAAAAGCACTGGGCATAGGAACTAATCATATGTGGGAAAGTGAGATTTAATAAACAAGAATAAAGAATAAATTAAAAGTGCCTGAGGCTGTAATCCTAAAGTGGTGGTAGGGAACTGAAGTCAGATGAACTACTATTTAGCCAAGGTCCTGTGGGTTTCTTGCTAGCATGGGAGAAATGCTCTGGTATGTTTCCATGAATTCTGCATTTCTTTTTTCTTTCTTTCTTTTAAACATTATTTTCCTCCCATTTGGAAAAATGTTTTCCCATTGGGAATTTATTTATTTTTTTAAATGCCCAATTTGGGCAATTCTCCTTTTTTGGCCCAACTAAAGTTGGACCTCCTATGCCAATTGGGCCAGGGTCTCATAAGTTTGCAGTGTCAGGGAGGGGGAATAAAATATATCCTATGGCACATGGGACATATAACTACAACTGAAATGTAATTGAAGTCACTTCCTATTAATGTTATACATATAAAGACAAGCCTTTTGTTTTTCTAAACTCTTGCCAGCTCTTAAATTAGTTAATAGGAAAAATAGGTAGGTGATAAGGGTAATAACTGACATAACAATTAAAACAGTTATAATTACATTTATATATATTAATATTTAAATTTATTTTAAGGGGTGTTGCTGTTTATTAACCATTCACTTTTTATAAAGTTTTCAAGAAGTATAGGTACAGACTTCATAAATTCAGGAACAGCTATGAGGTATTGTACAGAATCACTATAGTAAGACAAAACAACAAAACAACATTAACTGTATCCTGCTACATATCCAGAGGAAACTCAAACTGACTCAGGAAGAGGATGTACAGAAGCAGTTATTACAACATCCAGTGTTCATTAGGAATAAGGTTAAGACCACAAATGTTTTGAAAATACAAATAATACCAAAGTTATTTTTTTTGTCTCTGAAGGTTTCACATGATCTAGAAATGAAAGGATGTTTGGTTCAGACAAAATGCCAAACCAGTTAAAATAAGCCACAGTTTGTAAGCCAACAATTAGGTTGGCATGGTGCAAACTTACTGGTGGAGCCAAGCTGGTCTCCTGCTGGTGGTCTGCACCACACTGACCTCCTCACCCCTCTCCCCCCATTCATAAGCGGCAAGCAAGCAACCTGCCAGGAAGTTAGATTAAAGGCTTCACACTCACAAGTGAGGTGCTTCTGCACCAGACTATTATTATTTGATTTAATTGTTTTTAATTGTTTTATGCTGGGACCAACCAGATAGAAGGACAAATAGAAATTTTCAACTGAATAAATAAAATAGACAGGTAATATTGCTCAGGCTTCTAGTAATTCATTACCTAGTACATCATGTAAAATTAATCTCTGTTTTGGCAATGAATTGATCATAATCCTTTCCCTTTTCTGCTCTCAGCCTTATAGGAGCCACATTTATTCTGATTAGTGCTACAGATTCTTTAAAAAGCTACTGAATCTTATATTTTCAAAGACAGAGAGGGATCACTGCTTTTTGTAGAAATATGTTGTGGTACAATGTTATGATCTTGCACACTGCACATAAACTAACTTTACTAGTCTGCAAAGAGCATCAGTTAGAAACACAAATTAAGCAGTACATGGGTACCTCAGTTTAAGAACAGCCCTGTTTACAAACTATTCTGTTTACGAATTCCACAAAACCAGAAGTAGTGTTCTGGTTTGCGAACTTTGCCTCGGTCTAAGAACGGAATCTGAACAGTGGAAGGGCACTGGCAGTGGGAGGCCTCGTTAAGGAAAGCGCGCCTCGGTTTAAGAACGTTTTTGGTTTAAGAACGGACTTCTGGAACGGATTAAGTTCGTAAACCGAGGTACCACTATATATAAATGTCTTAAATGAAGTAACAGTGAAGTACTATTTGAAAATTAACATGTAGCAAGTAGGACATATACCATGTACCGTGCCAGCAACACAGGAATATAGGAAGCTGCCTTATACCAAGTCAGACATTGGGCTGTATCCAAATAAGTGCTATGTGAACATTCTGGCAGTACAGTGGAACCTTGGTTCTTGAACTTAATCCATTCCGGGAGTCTGCTCAACTCCCGAAACTTCGAAAACCAAGCTGCGGCTTCCAATTGGCTGCAAGAGCTTCCTGCACTCAATTGGAAGCTGCGGAAGCAGCGCTGGACGTTCAGCTTCCAGAAAACATTCACAAACTTGAACACTCACTTGCGGGTTTGCGGCATTCGGGAGCTGAGTTGTTCGGGAGCCAAACTGTTTGGGAATACAAGGATTTCTGCTTGTGTAACAAAATGCACTCCCCCCCCCATATGTTCAAATTATTCCCCTAACCTCTGGGGCAGATTGGTGGTGGTGCAGGGTACACACAGGCAGCGGTAGAAAGAAGACCTTTTGTGCTGTTGAGACACAGTAGTTGAACACCGCTCAATATTTTCTACATCTCCTGTCAGTGGCTGTTTACGGTTTCAGACAGAGGATGTTCCTAGCTCTACCTAGAGATGCTGTGGATTGAACCTGGGATATTCTGCCTGTAAAGAAGATGTTCTACAGTTCCATTAATACATAGCCCTTGTTCATCTTCCTTTTTAAACATAAAGTGTTCCTTGAAACTCAAAAGCTATTTTAGAATATCTTTTTAGTCCTTGACATCATCAGTTGATAAACCATCCTTTACTTTAAGCAGTTCAGTGAACATGGTTCTCCCCCTCTTCATTTAATCTCCACAACAACTCTGTGAGATAGGTTAGGCTGAGAGGCAGTGACAGGCAAAAAGTCATTCAGTGAGCTCCATAGCCATGTGGGGATTTGAACCCTGGTCTCCCAGGTCCTAATCCACTAGCTGCTACGCCACTCCGATCTGTTAAGTTTTTCAGGTAAATAAGTGTAAATTACCATACTGGTTTTGTCATCTACCTTTCAATTTCTTAGCCATCATACTACATTACTTAAAACTATTCCTCAGTTAGGTACACAGGGACCTTCTCAAAAATTTGTTGGAACATAGTGCTGTAATTAAACCCTGTTTCTGCTAGGCCAAAAGCCAAAAAAATGGAGAAACAGGTCAGATAAACTACTGTGTTGTGCACACAGTTGCAATTAAGTGTCTAGTGGTAGGTAATTAGTGTATTAACAGGTATCATAAATTACCTGATTTGCTTCAGATCTCATTACTCATTAATTGCTGTATTCTACATTCTACTCTAGCTGCTTATTCTTAAGAAGTTGGTCTGCCCTTATATAAATAACAAATGCTAAGAAGTGATTATACTCCATGTTTTTCTTTTCCATACTTTATAGTCCCTATTTAAATGCCTGTACACTAAACCCAAATATCTATACCATCTGAATTAGTAATATATCCCAGAGCAAATCATGAATAGCAGGGAGGGTCTGCACCATATCCTGGTCAAATCTTTGTCTCTGTGCCAAGTTTTGCTCCTGGGAAAATTAAAGTCTTGTTACAAAGGTAGCAAGTATCCTGGAAAATCTATATAGACCTCTATATCTATGTGCAATTACCCCTGCATACATCAAAAAACAGAACACATAAATTGTTTAACAGACGTCATGAGGCTGATACCCGAGAGGAGAAAACATTCATGCAATGTTGTGTTCCTGCTCTTTCCATAAATTTATTCAGAAGTAGCATTGTACTGTGCTTTGATGTTATTGTCAATTGTTTCTGTTTTTTGCTGCCGTGACATATATGTATTGCACATAGACAAAGAGCAGTTCAAAGACAATGAGATGATGGACAAAACCAAGTACAACAAATTGATAGCAGCACAATCAAAGTTCCACTTGAGCAAGCTTTGCATACTCTCTTTAATAACAACAAATGTTTCAGTAATATTCTGGTGAAGTAACACATAAACAATAATTTTTTGTAGCAAACATGAAAAATCCCAGCAGATGATAACTTCATACTTGAATTTACTGATGTTTTTAAATGTGCAGTGTAATTTTGGCTACATTCTTGAAACCACCCACTCAAGAGAAATCTCAGTGTCTATTATAGAGCTATTCCAAATTTTCAGCAATACAGCCTTTTTCTTCTGAAAAGTAATGTTATTTTATAGCAAAGACGACTGGTGATGTTCATTACACTTAATCAGAAATCTCCTACACATTCTGAAACCTTGAACAAATTAAATAAAAACTGGGGTGATACTTCTCCAATTTAACAACATTCCTCTGATTGACCTCTTAATTCCACCTGTCTGATTAATGAGAGAAGGAAAACTGTTGTAAGTTGCCTTCAAGACTTGGTGATACCACCGGCCCTCAAAGGGACCCCATTATTAATTCATCATTTAATGCATATATTAGACCTTTAGAAATGGTCATTGGAGGATTTGGTGCAAGGTGTCACAAGTACTCTGATCACACCCAGCTCTATTTCTCCTCTGCACTGGAATCAGTTGGAGCTGTGCAAGTGCTTAATCTGTGTTTGGAGGCAGTAAAGGGTTGGATTACCTTAAATGGCAGTGCTATAGATTAGTGCTTCCTGGGTCTGGGAATGAACAGTGTCTTCTGGATGGGGTTGGACTCTCCTTGAAGGATCAGGTACAGTCACAGGGCGGGGGCGGGGAAGAGAGATAGCTTGACTACAGTAATCCATACTCTGGAACCTTACTTTAATGTACTCTGCATGGGATTGCCCTTGCAGGTGGATTGTACACCACAGCTAGGAAAAAATACAGCCATGAGGGTGTTGGCTAGTGTACCTTTGAGATACTATCTAACACCAGTCCTTGAAGAACTGCACTGGGGCCTGTTTGCTACTGAGTGCAATTCAAGGTGATAGTTTTGATGTAAAGGTAAAGGGACCCCTGACCATCAGGTCCAGACGTGGATGACTCTGGGGTTGTGGCGCTCATCTCGCTTTATTGGCTGAGGGAGCCGGCGTACAGCTTCCGGGTCATGTGGCCAGCATAACTAAGCCACTTCTGGTGAACCAGAGCAGCACATGAAAACACTGTTTACCTTCCCACCGGAGTGGTACCTGTTTATCTACTTGCACTTTGTGCTTTCGAACTGCTAGGTTGGCAGGAGCAGGGACCGAGCAACAGGAGCTCACCCCGTTGCGGGGATTTGAACTGCTGACCTTCTGATCAGCAAGCCCTAGGCTCTGTGGTTTAACCCACAGTGCCACCCGCATCCCAAGTTTTGATGTACAAAGCCCTAAATAGCTTAGAACTCAGCTGTCTGAAGGAGCACCTCCCACTGTCCTGTCCACACCATCATCAAATAAGGACCCAGCTTCTGAAGCACGTAATAAAGCCCCCTTGGTGGTGGAACAATCTTTTTCCTGAGGTTAGACTGGCACTAGCATAAACTAGTTTTTGGTGCTAGTTGAAAACATTTAATTTTCACTATGCCTTTCACTGTATCTGCCTATAGCTGGGGTGATGTGTACATTGAATTTTATATTGTAAACTGCTGCTGTTGGTTTAATTATGTTGTGGCCCATAATGAAGGGCAGGATAAACATTTTACAAATAAATAAAACAGGACAGCCTCTTGGACAGAGCATGATGCATAGGCATGAAACGAAGACAGGAATGGTTCATTAATATGTTTCTGTGGTAAAAGAAATGGACTGCTAGGAAAAAGGTAGGACATAATTTATTTGTTAATCATTGTAACACCTCCACTTAATTGCTATTTCTAGCACTAATAGCAATGTTTATTTCAGTTCTTGTTGACAAGCAAGACTATGACTTTGTAAGTAGCATTTTATCTAATATTTTATCTAATATTATCTAATACATCTCATATTTTTGTGCATTCTGATGTCTGGTATCTTTACTCTCTTCATGTTAGTAAGGAAATACAAGGTTTTTTGAGGGATTTTTATTCAGTATTAATTGTGAAATTGTTCTGCAATCTTTTATAAGGAAAATGATGGATAATTACATATTTATGTGTTGTATGAGTAATAATGTATTTGCATTTTTGTTTGTTTTCATAAGAACACTTTTTGTTGTGAACTGCTTTTGAGAGTAGTGTACACAGAAAAGCAGTATACAAATAAATTTACTTACTGACATTTGGCATTTGATCCCATTTATAACAAAGCAGAAAACTTTAGTTATTAGCAGACAGATCTGTGAAAGTATATACATAACAATTTGAGCTGATTCTCTATTACTCATCGTTGACTTCCAGGGTACTTAAACATATGCGTCCAGCTGGAATTTTGCACTCTCTTGGGATAGAAAGTAACTGAAGAAAACAGAGGTAGGAACTTCAGCAGGCAGTTAGCAAATGTTTAACTGCTTTTACCTGTCATCCTTATCATCAGCAGGCACCTTCTTTGACAAGTTTTAAACATCAGCTGAAAACTTTCCTATTCCGCCAGGCCTAAGCAGGCAATGAAGAGTACATCGCCGACAATGGTCTATTAATGTTTGTTTTCAATTTTTTTATTTTTAACTTCTTTAAATCTATTTATCATTTATTGTTTGGTTTATCAGATATTTTGTATTTCAGCAAACTTTGGGGCTCAGCTGAGCCTGTGGATTCCTCCTTCTTATGTATGGGTGATGTAATTTTAGCTACAGAAGACCTGACACAGAGCTTGAAGATTGGAAATAGAGGAAATTATGATGATAAATGCAGATGACTAAACATATCTTAGAAGACTAGGCAGAGTGGAAAAGACCAAATAAAATATCAGGACTATCTCAATGAACTAATAACAGCATTGTATTAATATCACACAGAATTTAAGAGACTGCAACCCAGATGTTTATTGTCCAAGAAGGTTCCTGATTAGTGATGGGTCATTATTCTTTGGGCCACACCAAAACACTTTTGACTAGGTTTTAACTCTAACATCTAAAATAATTTTTGGCTTTGAGTTCTACACACTGCCCTGACTATTACTTTAACATGCAAATTGCCTAATATTATCTAAATTGTTGCTATGCCATAAATTACCAATATCTGTTGAGCTTTTCTTTTGTGTCAGCTAGTTCAGATGAGTAAATCCTATATATGCTGTGGCCCTACTCAATCTGTGTGAATGCTAGGGCCAGTTATCATCAACCTTTTCAGACCCAGGGCCCATGTTTAACTCAAATATGCATTTGGGGAAGCATTTCTGAATCTTTTACCATATATTTGTATGATGGTAGTGCTCCTGTTACGACAAAACTTGAATCAGGCTGTGACCCACTAGTGGGTCTCAACCCAGCAGTTTAAGACAAGTGCTAGGAAAAATTAGTATTCTGATATAGGCTTGCTCAACAATCATTGAAGAAGGGCTGGGATTGATTATATCTGAACTTCATTCTCTACTAAGGAGAATTGGAAAGGAAAACCTTCCTTACTCCCACTTATCTTCACTGTATTTTCCTGTTTTCTCAAGAACCCTACTATGGAGGAAATCCTTTTGTCTATTTTTAAATAGCATGTGTCGGTATGATTGGTTCTGTCACCCAGGGAAGCAGCAGCAAAGAATATTCTAATCTTGTACTGTTTCAAGGGATGGGGAAGGAGAACTTATTTTGACTTTTCTCACCTTCTTCTCATCCCAGATTAGTATTATCATACGAACTACAAACCTTCATTGCCCTTATTTCTCAGGAACAGGATTACTACCAGATTCTAAGACAAATTTTGGAGCTAGGTGGTGGAAAATTTAGGCATATTTAAATAATAAAGAATAACCAAATGCGACAACCCATAGGGAAGAAACAGTGTGGCATTGTTCTTTTCATTTTGTGGTTTTATATTCTGATTTTATCCTGTGCATCACCCTGAGACCTGCAGGAATAGGGCTGTGTATAAATTATTCTTATTAAACATTGCCTAAAAAAGAAAATGTGAATACTTGCCTCATTGAAGTATGAACAGTAAGATGGAAAAAGGAAGCTAATTCTTACTCTGGGAGTAATAAATGATCAGTAGAAAGAAACAGAACTTTTATAACTTTAAATGCACCCACATCCACTTTAGCTAGTAAGCAAGAAAACTTCTGTTTAATACTTTGTCATCTTCTCTTCTGTCTTACTGTTTTCCGTCTTTTTCCTTATTCCTCATTTGGGAGAAGAAACAAGTTTATTGGCATAGGCATAGCCAGAGGGGGTGGGGGCAGCTGTCCCTCCCAATCAAGTAAATAAATAAAAATACTTAACTGACCAACTGCATCACAGATAGCTTGGTTCTCCCCCTACCCCACATTAATCTTGACTACATCAATGTTTCTTGATATTAGAAAAATATTTTAAATGAATCATAACTTTGTGATGTGATCAGACATATTACTTAACCAACATCAGCTCTGCAAGGTCCCAAAAATAGAAGTAAATAAAACAGAAATAAGAAATAAATTGAAGCATGTGTTGCCTCTCAGCTGTGTTTGATTAGTCCAAAGTAAATCCCAATATCTTCGTTTTAACAGCTTTCCAGGTTAAGTGTGCACAGGATTACAGCCTCAGTCTCTTACCTGTAAAAATGGGATCTATGAAGTTGTGAAACAGGATAAAGTTCTGCAGCAGCTTAAAAATGCTATGCAAATAGCTACAAGCTCTTTTAGGAACAGTTTCTGTTAAGTCATTGCAACTTTGTTATAACTAACTATAAATGCAGACTGGACATTGGAAGGCTTGAGTTAAAAGAAAGGCAAATGTCACATAGACTATAAGACTCCTTTATAAAAATAAGTTCCATTTTAAAATAAGAACCACAAAGTTGGAAAGGCACTCAAAGTTCATCTAGTCCAACCTCTGCTAATGCAGGAAATTAACTGCTACAATATCCCTGTTAGATGATCATCTGCCTTAAAAATTCCAATACTGTAGAAAGTTCACCACCTTCCTAAGCAGCCTGCTCCAGTTTAGAACAGCTCATACTGTCAAGACTTCCTAAATCTAAGTCATGAGTTACTTTCTTGTAAAAGAGTATACAGAAATGTTGTACTCACACTGCCCATTAAGATCCCTATTAAAAGCCACCTATCAAGAGGAATAGCTTCTTTTTACAAAGCATCTGACAAGTTACTTTAGTGATAGATTTATAGAGTGCCATAACTAGTTTGGTGTGTACAAAGGGGCTTTGGACATGTTTCTCCAACAGCAGTTCCTCATGGCATATAGCAAACCGCTTTTTAATATGAGGTGGTATGGAGGTGAGCTGTACAAAGGGGGGAGAAGTCCACAATTCTACTGAGCCTAGCTTGTGCTCCAAGATTCTAGAAGATATTAATTATAACAGCACTGTAGTTAAAATTATATAGAATTGTTTTAATTAAATAGCCTGCTGAAGAAACTAAGTTAGTAACAGAATAGCACAGAATATGCAGAATGAAAAGGAAAGGGGCTCTGGCCTACCTAGCCCATGCCCTCTTAACCTTCATCACCTTAGCCAGTCACTCTGGAAAAGACGAGGGAGAGACGTATGCCATAAAAGTTTTATATTTATTTTGTTAGTTACCCTGCCTTTTTCTGTTGAAAAATAATTATGTGCCTCTCTGGAAAACACTTCTATAAGTTTACCTATAATAGACTAATACTTGCTATATTTCTGTAGTTCAAAACCTTTAAAACTCTTTAACAAAAACTTAAAATAGCACACCTTCTTGGATATCAGGAATCAGGTGTATTTCACTGGTAACAAATGCCCTACAAAACTCCTGGTTTTCTTTCCAGTGGTTGCCAATAAGTAAATAAATAAAACGGAGCCAAATTATTCCACAACAGTAAGTCAGTAACTCAGACTGTAATAAAATCTGAAATAGTTGCACTAATTGTTTAGTACAACTATTCTGGTTATGGCTGCATAAATCAGGCATATGAACAGCTATATTAAAAATGAACTGCTTTCTCCACTTATGCTGTCAAGGAGTGCAGTGTGCAAGAAATTATTGCTCAAATATATCCTGCTCACATCTATCAATATTGCAAAGTTTGATGTCTGTTCCAAATGACATCACAAAATTCAGCACAAACCTGTAGCACCACATTTAGAATGCAATCCTAAACTGCATTCTAAACCCTATTTAATAAACCCTATTAAATCAATGGGATTTAGGCTGCATTCCTATACCCACTTACCTAGGAGTAATAGTCACTGAACTCAATAGGACTTACTTCTGAGAAAAAATATATAGAACTGGGCTGTTCCTTACAAATAAACATGCATCAGATCAAGATATATGGGACTGGGATGCATACCAGAACAAACATTCAGCTAAAGTATGTGAAACTGTCTTGGAGCACAAAAATAAGTGCATAGGAGTCATTCAGAGCTGAAATATTCAGCTACTGCTACATTCAATTATTTCCATGTATGAAATGTTCCCTTATTACAGTGCTGTTTTAGTGTACAGATGAGGTGCCACTATAACACACTTTCAAGATGAAGAGGAGCCTTGGAATATTTTATTTCCCAGGGGAGTTAATGGAAACTAAACCCCAAGCCGCAGTAGCTTCCTTTGTGTGTATCTTCCCCCACTCCTCCCCACCACTTTGGACTTGAGTGCAGCAGTGTGGAGACAATGAGCATTCTGTGCACAACGCCCACACGGATTGGCTGGGCTCCCCCCAATACCCCATGATGTAATGTGTTTGGAATGTGCCGGGACTTTGAGCTGGAAGGGGGGGCATTTCTCATCTGTTTCCCAGACCAAGTGGGTTCAGTAAATTAACATGATGGACCTGGTGTGCATTTGCCGAATCTCACTACCTTCCTCATACTTCTGTTTAGCATGAAATGGATTTTTTTTTAAGCCTGAGAACCGCCATTCCCATCTTAGTACATCACTGTGTTTGGGAAAATATGACTGCATACAAGAGTGTACAGGAAATGTGTAGGTGAGGAGATAGTATCAAATATAGGTGCTGAGGGGTGCTAAAAGACTAGCCTAACAGAGGTGTGGATGGGAACACTATACATCGGGGGCAACCAAGGCAGAATTCAGAGAAAGCTGCAACTGTGTCCCATTCACATTTTGTTTTAATCTTCCTTTCTCCACAAACAAGTCCATACCTTCACAGCAAACGTCATCCTTGGTGGCATTTTAATCTGACAACTGCCAGTGTTTTAAAAGTGACCTCCATTTCAGAAATCAATCTGCCCTCTGTCTTCGGTACTGGTCTTTTAAATGCTGTTACAGGGATTGGTTAACAAACACAACAACCTAAAAGTACAAACTTCCTCGCCCTAGCCGCCCAGTCCTGTTTTGAGAGGAGAGCTCTGCGTCCACACACTTGTTAAGGGGCAATCAGAAGAAGTAACCCAGGGAGGGAGGCAGGGAGACCGGGAGAGTGCGTGCACCAGCCATCCCCTTAGCACACCATCGTGCCTGGCGCTCGCTAGCTCTAGACTGGAGCCACGTAGGCTGGGATCACCTCGCGCTCCCCCTGCTGCTGCTGCCGCCATCTCCCGAGCCTGGGTGGGTCCCGCAAGCCGGGGCGTGCGGGCTCCTAGCGAAACGAGGAGGTGGAAATCTTTTAAGGCAGCAGGAGCAGCAGCAGCAGTTCGACACTCGTGTCCCCCCCCCCCACCGCACGTCAGAAGGCGCAGTCACGAGCGCAGAACTGCGCGTCCCGAAGCCACCACAAACCAGCGTTCCTCTTTGTTTGTTTCGCCATCCAGCCCCCCCCCCCCCGCGCTCCCGCAACCCCTCCTCCTCCCTCCGCTTTTCTCTTCATTAGACCCGAGCTTGTCCCGCCGCAGTGATTTGCCAAGGAGGAGCGGCTGGGCTGGCTGGCTGGCTTTCGCCTCGGCCTCTGCAGCTGGGAGAGAAAGAAACAAAGTCTCTCTCTCTCTCCCTCTAAAGTCTCTCTCCCGCACACACACCCCTTGGGCCTTCTTCCCTCTTAAGCGCGAGGAAGAAAGAAAGAAAAATTATACCCGAAACTTTCCCACACGCGGAAAGAAATATGTACCCTCCCCGCCTGCGCGCGAAGTTAAAGGGAGGGAGTGCGGGCCATCCTCATTCCCCATCCAAGAGGGAGGCGAAGCCAGACACTTCTCCCCGCGACCGAAAGGAGCGAGGGATGAAGGGAAGCGGCGGCGCCTCACAGTCGGTGTCTCCGCAGGCAGGAGGGGAGTGCGAAGCCTCCCTCTCGTCTCGTGTCCCCACCCCACAAAACCCCAGGAAAATAAAATGGGGACGGGGCGTGTGAGTAAAGCCGGGGGACTCTCCCGTCAAGGAAGGGAGCTCAGGGTCCACGGGGGCTTCGGCTTCCCCGCCGCTTTTGTCTCTCTAGCGATTTCTTTCGCGATAAATGCGCGGTTGGAAGCGAAGGGCTTTGTTTCTAACCCATTAAAAATAAATAAATAAAATAAAATGGGGTAAATCGGGTGCGGTGCCGGGAGTGCCAGCCTGTGATTTACCTCACACGTACATCCGAGGACAAGGGGGTCACACGTCGTCTTCTGAGGGGAGGGGGGGGGAGAATGGTGGTCTCGGTGAGGGGGAAAGTGGGGGCTCCTTCCAGTCCTCCTGCCGAGAAGCAAGGGGGAGGGGGCTCACTCGTCCTACACAGCCGGAGTTTGGGGTGAGGTGGGGGCTTCGTTTCGCTCGTGCCCCACAGTAAACGAACTCCCCCCTATTACACACACGGTTTTTAAACCACAAGGCTGAGGTAACCTTCGCCTTTCACGCGCCCCCCCCATCCCACCTAATCCCGTGCATAGTGAGGTGATGATGGAGCAGGCAAGGGAAACGAAAAACGTCTGAAATAGGCAGTTGGGAGTTTGGTTTTTCTCCCTCCCCCCCCCCTTCGCCCGAAAAGTTGTGCGTTTGGGGGGGGGCGTCTGTTCCCCTGACCCTGAGGAGAGCGAAACCATTCTCTCCCCTCAGGAAAAAAGGGGGCTTGTCTCCCGCGCGTCCCTCCCGGTCCACGAACAAAAGCCGAAGGAGGCGCTGGGATAACCACCATCTTCTTCCCCGCGAGCCCTACCTTGTTCTTGACCTCGGCCGAGAGCCCATACGAGGGGCCCTTGTTGAAGTGGGTCATGGCGGCGGGTCGGTGTCCGTGTGCCTTACGCCTTGTGGCGCCAGAGGTGGTAACGCTCTGGCTTGCCTATGCTGCTGCCGCTGCTGCTGCCTGCCTTCCTGCGCTCGACTGGGCGGCTTTCTGGGTGCTGCCTGAGCTCGGAGAGAGCGAGGGCGGGCCGGGCTCGTAGGGGGAGAGGGAAGGAGGAAGGGAGGGACGTGGGCCAGGCTGCCTGACAGGGGAGCCCCGACGCGGAGCTGCCGGCTGCAGAAAGTTCTAGTCCCTCCCTTGTCCGAAAGGGCGGCCTCCGCCGAAACATCCATTTCCCTTCACAGGAGCTGAGGCGGCGAAACGGCCTGGGGGGGGGGGGAATTATAACGCCCCTCAGCTTCTCATCTGGGCTCGTACCACACAACAACACCCCAGGGCAAACTCTTATCCCCTGGTAGATCAGACTCCAATAGAAACTACTCTGGTTTATACACGGAATAAACTCCATGCAACTAAACCCATAAAATAAAATAAAAACACTCACAGGCACAGGACCTTAGATACATCCAAGATGGATTGTTTTCCCCAAACTTTGGTCCTTAAAGCTGTTTTTTTGGAGGACTACAATTCCCATCATCCCTGACTGCTGGTCCCACTAGCGAGGGATGATGGGAGTTGTAGTCCTCAAACAGCTGGAGACTTCTAAGTTTGGGAAACACTTGATTCCTGCGACGCCCTCCACTTCGGGCAGCTATCTTTGAAAAATTAACTGGGATGCTTCAGCTGGCCCAGAATGCAGCTCTGAGCATGTTGGTGGGCCCAGGATCCCGCAGCAGCCGCACCGTGTCATGAACTGGCTGGATGAAGGGGGTGGGGGTGGGAAGCACCTGCTGGGGGACCCCCCCTAAGACAGGAGGGCTACATCAGTTGCATAGGGAACCCCCAGATTGAGAGAGGATAAGGTGTTCTCCTCTCCCCACTTGGTTGTTTTCTGTTATGAAATTGTCATTTGAAATGTTGTAAGCCACCCTGAGAGGTGCTTTTGCATCAAAGGAGTGGGATATAAACATTTTAAATAAATAAATACCTCAGGGTAAAACTCTGGGCTAATAATGGTGATAGTTGATCACCTCCGAGTCCACTCAAAATGACAACTGCTCTGGGATAAACTCTTCTCAAGGTAATATAATCATTTCAGCTACCTGCAGTGAGACCATGCTTATAATTCCTTCCAGGTGGTAATGAGGATTTTACCACATAGTAGGCACATATGATAAAACGGTTGTCTGTGTGCATCATCCTGCCAGGTAAGAAGAATTTTACCACACATCAGTTGGTAAAATAGCTTTATGGGCATCTGAGCATGTGCAGGGTGCTTCTCCCCCCTTTTGAATAACAACAGTGCACCCACCAATAAATTCCTACAAAAGCTGCATTCTTTCTTTTCCTTCATATAATTTAACAAACACTCTTAACCAATATACATTTGGCAGAGGGCATTTGGTGGGTTAAGAGGGTGTTGGAAGTTCTGGGATTTAGGGAAGGTGCTATGAGGAGAAGGAAGGCTCAAGTGAAGGAGAATATGTGGAAAAAGTTATTATGAAAACATATTGGGAACTGTGTACTAAGATCACGGAGCCAGGGGATAGCCAAAGGGAGAATTGGCAGTTATTAACTACTGGAGCGTAAACTGCTCATAATTTTTTGCCAAAAAGTGGAGAAACATCAAGATCAGTAAAGAATCCCTTGCCATTCAGAGCTTTGTAGCAACGTTATGGAAAAATAACATGCAGGAAACTTTGCCTTAGGAATCTGAAATAGCCACTAATTTCTAACACATGGTGCACGAGAGATACAGATGCTTGTTAAAAAAGAAAAGAAGCCATTGCTGGACTAGATCAGTGGCTGTGCTGATTCTCTCCCTGCCTAAACATCACTCGAATCTAACTACACACACACACACACACACACACACACACACACACACACACACACTTCCTGTAATTTAGTCTTCAATTATTTTATCCCTTGGCTCTATCACAGGGAATTGTGGATATGTGGGATGACTTCATAAGAGGAGTAGCTACATTTGCCCTGGCAGGGTTTATGTGCTTTTGAGAAACAGAGAGCGAGAGTGAGAGAGATTCACAATGTCATTGCCTATTATTGCATATCTTTGGTACAATAAACACATTACCTGCTGAACTTCTGCCTGCCATAGGCAGAAGAGGCAGAATGCGCATGTGCACACATAACATATGACAACTCCTACAAATGTTTTGTAGATGAGTGGAACTTAGAGGCAGCGGACTGAAACATTAGCCTATCCAGTCACCGGGACAAGTGTGCTCCATTGCTAGAGTGTCTCCTCCCACCTCAGGCCAGTAGCGCAACAGCCACTATGGACAGTGAGAAACACATTGTATGAATATTGAAAGGACACCCTGAAACAGAGACTGGTCACAAGAAAGCACTGTATTTTAGAACATTTGGGGGAGGGGGGAAGAGATGAGAGACTGTAAGGGGTTTGTGGCTGTTGCATTTTTGCGTTTTTACATTGCTGTACACACCAGAGGATGGAGATGTTTTCACCCAATGTGCATTACCAGGTTCCTTTTCCCATGCCTGCAACCCACCCCTCAAACTCCAATTCAATGAAACTGTCATTTGCACATGCATTGTCTTCTGTCTGAATTGTACATACTTCGGCTTAAGAGCAATGTTTTCAAATCAGATGGATGTTGGTTTGAGGAGAAATGCATCAAACAGTGGTATTTCTTAAAAAACTGCACTTTTAAAGAAAGTGTAGGATGCATATGAGTTGTGGCTAATGTCATGTGTACTCAGCTTCAAATACCAGAGGTGGGAGGGCATTGAAGATGGGTGTAATCGGTAATGTGTACAGTCTACATCTGCTCTTTCCTCCTTATGTAGGTGCAACAAATAGTGCCATAACACTACAAAAGACACTAGGCTCAGGCTTGCTAATTGAGTTCCTTTAGGTTTGAGCTGTATTTTGCAGTTAAACATGAACAGAGGAAAAAATAACCATCTACTTGTTTAAAACATGCAAACAGCAGTGTAAATTTGTGGTAGAAAAGTAACTGACAACAAGAGCATGCACCAAAAAGTTGTAATTTTAACAGTTTTTTTTGGTTCTGTGGATACAGATATTAGAATTCATTAAAAAAAACCCAAAAACAAATTGGCATAGAACTCATAATGCCCTGGCCCTAATCTAGACGTATTCCTGCAATAAAATGGTTTGAAGAACATCCTGTGCACAGCAACATAGGCAATTTCAACCCACCGGTTCCAAATGGACAATATTTGGGGTAGAATTCAACAGAAAAAGCAAGAGGAGCTCCAAACAGAGCAGGGCTGAATTACCACATTAACACTGTTAGCATCTAAAGAAGGAGCCCCATAAAACCACCACTCCAAAGTCTGAAACAACTGCAGAAAACCTGTGACTCTCCTGATGTTGCTGGTCTACATCTCACATCATCTCTGGCCATTGCCCATGCTGGCTGAGGCTGATGGGTATTGCAGTCCAACAACATCTGGAGGGCATCATGTTCCCCACCATGGCCTAAAATTTCCTAACTGCATCATAGCCTCAACTTCATGATAAAATGGGATGGGGGTGGAGTCATGTACACCACCTTGAACCCCCTGGAAGGAGGAAAGACGAGATGCCAAAGTGATCAATAACAGCAACAAAATAAAAGGTGCTATGTGAAGGCTGCTCAGCTGATGAAGGCTCAGATGTGCATATCCATCAGCATCATTTTAGATCACAGGCAGCCCCCTAAGAGCCACTCAATAACAGAGACCAGTTATCAACACTGGATTGCCACTGTAACTCCTCTGGCATGCACAAAGCTTTGTACCTGCAGAAGAGGATCTGCAGATCTATTCTTTCAATCTGAACTGGATTTTCTTCATTTGTGATTAACACACTGCTGGATTTTATACATGCAGAAAGTAGAGCAACGGGTGTTTCCCCCTGCCCACCCACCCCCACCCGAAATCTGAAATCTGGAAAAGAGTTAAAAATCTGGTGAGGAGTTACCACGTCTCTACCACACATGGAGGGCTGTTGTACTGAGGTGTCAATTATTATTAATCTCACTGGAAAGACACATATTCCCAGAATTGAGAGAACAGCCATGTCATTGTATGGCTAAGACTTTCTTTTCTTTTTAAAATAGAGAACCACAGCCCTGTCTTTCATATACTTAATGGCAGCATGCTGGTACAAACCCTTGGAGATAAATGTTTCTATACTCCTGTAATTTCACTTTAAGTACTGTAGTGGACACAGTGTCTAGCAATAGCTACTCTCTTCTTTCTTTCCTTTTTGGTTTTTGTTACATTTGTTCTACTAGGTGCAGACTTTCCCAGCTCTCATTCTGCAAACTATGTTGACAGATTTCTCTTTTCATCATTTTGTCCCAAAAGGGTTTCATCTGCTTTTTGAATGACTGTGGATGCTGCGAGGCACCTGTGTTTCTCTCATGCTTGCTTTGTAGCAAATAATAGATGATGACAGATTTTCTTGGCAGTCATCATTGGATCCTAAATTACGCTTATGGATATTTCAAAATCGATGTCTGGACAGACTTCTTCTTCTTCTTCTTCTTCTTCTTCTTCTTCTTCTTCTTCTTCTTCTTCTTCTTCTTCTTCTAAAGCTATGCTCACAAACCCCAGAATATAAATGTGAAGTTGGAAAGAAGCAAAACAAAAAATATAGGTTTTAATATAGATAAGTATTATAGTGGCTGATAATGGCTAAAATGAAATTTTATATTAAGGATCAGTTGCTTTCTGTATTGATAGCATCTGATCACAAATTCCCAATGTTTAAAATGTATTCGGGCTGTGGGTGACTTACAGAAAAGAACTAGAAATTAGCACAGTCTAGTAGTGGTTCTCTATAATTATGAACACTAGTCTTCATTTAAAACAAAACGTTCCAGCACTAAAGGATGTCTCCTCCCTGTGTGCCTTCTGCACACAGATGAGTACCATCTTTTAATTTGGTAAAATACTGGACTCTTTTTACAATTACAGTGTTCTATTAGAGAGGTAAGGTGACCATGCGTGCAATGGACGGTACAAAATTCAAATGTATATGCTTTGCATTTTTGCATCTTCTTTAATATTGAAATGCTTTGCTATTGGTTATTTGTAAAATATCAAGCACCAATCACATAATTGCCAAACATATGTTTCCTATTCCGCTTTATTCTATTAAAGCCAGGT